AGTGCAGACAACATTGCTGAATGCAGGAAGTTGTTTGCTGCCAAAAGTCTGAGCTCTTTAGTGTGCGCGTCCACATGCTGCTAGTGATGTGCTGCGGATCTACGTATAAGTACACATGAGAGGACTGGGCAGCATGCTTGTTGGGTGAACTTCATCGCAGCGTTTAAGTCCTGCAACCTCCATGCTAAAGTTTAGGATTGGCCTACAACTGCTTTGTGGGCCGGTCGTGGCAGCCACATGACAACATGTTAGGACGAAAGTCAGCCCATGGGGACGATCCCTTTCAACATCTTCTCGTTTCGCAGTCCTTGGGGTTGTAAGTCTGGTACAAAGATTTGGTGCTTGGTGCCCTCAATGCAAACGCCAGCCGATCAGATCTTAGATCTTGTACAGTGTCAGGAACGACGAACAAATAAACGAGATCGGGTGGTGGAGGGAGGCTCGAACTGAGAGAGGCCAAACTTGCATGCCCAAGGGGCTCTTGCCCAAGCACGGTCAGCGTCGCTGGTCCTCGACTTCTCCCGGACGGTCTTCAGGCACAGAGCGTCGGTCTCCTGCTACCTGCCGCGCCACTCGCTTTCCGAGCAGTCCACTCCGGTTTGGCTGCGTCCATCGGTTTCTCGCCGAAAGTCTTCGGGACAGATGTTTTTTTTGAGGTTCCAAGCGGCTCAAGCCATGCAGCACCTTGAGCAGGATTAGGGGTCCCTGAGCTTGCATTGGCAGCATCGTCTCTTGCCGAATCTGAGTAAGCATGGCATGCGTTTTTATCCAGTCCTGCGCCCTGTGAAGTTGTGTTTTGGGCCGGCATCAGCAACCCAATGAATGCAATTTCTGCGCCCCCCTGGCGCATCTAACAGACATGACTTATCATGACCGATCAGCCTCCGTTTGCGGTTTTAAGTATATTGGGGTTATATTGGAATAATGGAAAATAAAATGGAAACTACTATAGTAGGGTTATATTTTCTGCAACATCTTGAGCTCAAGCTCGGTCTGGGCTGTTGTGAACAGCGCCCCGATCCTTTCCATCGAGGGCGACCCAATGCACAATGCCCAAGCATCCCTGGCTGATTAGCAACGGAAGAAGATGGAAGAAGCATGCCTCATGATGTGCTCCTTCAAAACCTCAACGCCTGCAGGCCTCCACGAATAGAAATGCATGGCGTCGAAGTCCAGTGTCTTGGAGAAATGGAGCAGTGGCACAAATCAGTTTGCAGGACAGGGAGGTGTTGCCGTGATACTGTGCGTCTATAAAGCTCGTCGCAAGGCTCCTGTGCAATGGTATGGTGCCGTTAGTTAGCATGGAGACATCGTCAGGGCCTCGGACAGGTTCTTGTGCATCGAAAGCAGCAGTCATCTCGCACAACACAAAACCTGTCAACAGGTCCCCGTTCCATGGCTGTGCATCGGCGATGTTGCAGACAACCTTGGAAAGCTTCAACAGGGCAGCTTACTTCAAAAGTTGCCAATGCTCGCGTGAATCATATACCTTTAGGAGAGCCCAGCTGTCACTTGCGCTGTGGCTAGTTTTGCGGGTGAAAAGCTGTTGCCGTCGATGTTGTCAAAGGTAGACGGCTTATACATGCACTGCACGGATGCGCAAATCCAAAAGGTGTCTTGGCTTCACCAGAGATTCGGCATGCATTGCGCATGCCCATTGTTTCCTGGCGGAGAAAGCTCAGGAACTCGAATGGAGTTTGGGTTTGCGGCAGTTGGACTACATGTTGGCCAAGGCGCGTGTGACCTGCGGTGTGGAGCCGTGAAGCGGGCAATGTGTACACGGTTCATGGCGGGTGGAAATCAACCTGTCAAGGCCAAGATGTATGAAGATGTCCGAGCTGCTGGATTAACCAAACGATCATTGCTGCTGGCTTTGGTTTTAGGCGACTGGGACAAAGTTACTTCATGTGATGTTGCTGGTTGCTGAACTGTATCGCCCGTCGTATGTGTTCGAACAAACTGTCTTTCTCGTGCTCCATGGGTTCAAGCCACAAAGTCAGCAACTCAGATCTAATTCTTGAGGCACTTTTCAATTTTTTGGGGGGTGTACTTGAACTGGTTGATGTCCGAGAAGTCCAGGGCATGTATCCTTGTGTCCGAGCACATTGTACGGGGTCCAGCTTCGCAGCCATGAGGCGCCAGCCAGGTTTGGCTGGCCTGATGCGGGGACAGGCCCAGCAAAACGCCCTCAGTGCTGTAGGCGAGCGGATTGAGGCCGACAACAGTCAGCAAGCTCGGGCCTTGCTGCAAAACTTGCAGCAGTCTTTGCGGGAGTTTGCTGCTCGACATCGTGATCGCATCAACTCTGACCCTCAATTTCGGAAGTCCTTTTGTGACATGTGCATGGCCGCTGGTGTCGACCCCCTGGCAAGCAGCAAGGGTCTCTGGGACGAGTTCTTGGGTGTCGGTCAATTTTACAACGATCTGGCAGTGCAAGTGTTGACCCTCTGTCTCACGAGCCGTGACGAGAATGGTGGGCTGCTGGATTTGAAGCAGTGCCTCACAACCCTCAGGCGTTCTAGAGCGAGGGGTGATCTTGGTGTCGATGACATTGATCGAGCTGTTGATTGTCTAGCCCAGCTTGGGCCTGGAGTTTCCATTCGCATCTGTGGAAAGCACCGCTTGATCTGCTCAGTTCCTGAGGAGCTGAGCGATGATCCAGCGCAGGCCTTGGACTTGGCAGCCCGCACAGGCGGCAAGGTCTCTGCAGAAGATCTAGTGAAGCAATATGCTTGGAGCCGAGAGCGTGCTGAGAGTGCCCTGCGCCACTGCATTCGCGAAGGCTTATGCTGGATTGACACCCAAGATGACCAGGTGCCCATGTGGTGCTGGTTTCCGAGCATTGCTTTGGCCGAAATGGACAAAGCTGCATAAAGCTTTCAGCTGCGACAGCACAAACTCAGCTGGCGACGATGTCTCACCAACTAAAGAGTATCTTGATGTGACACAGGTAATACGATCGGAAGATGTTGACATCCAAGATTTGGGAGTGTTGTGTGAAGAAAAAGGAACTGGAGTGCTGCTTGCTGCAAGTGATCTTGACGGCCGCGCAAGCTGTTAGGTCTTGGCTTGACCAGCACCGTAAAAACCAAGAAGATGCATCTTCGGTCGCAATGAGCCTCAAAGTCAGACGGAATTTGAACTTTGGGTTTCTGTAAGATTCAATGTGTTTGACACTTGTTTTCCTATTCGGCTCCGTCTGAGAAGCTGGACAACTCAGGTGGACGCTGCTGAGCGAGTTTGACCCAGAAGTGGCCAAGAAATTTGACGAATTGCTCAATGCTTGCTGGGAAGCATCATCGCAATCATCGTCGCAAAGCAACAAAACCAACAACAGTTGGTGGAAGCGCTTTGGCTAAAGTTCAGCATTCTTGCTTGCCATGCAGGATATCTCAATCAGCCTGTAGCACGAAAGCGTAAACAATCGGTGTCGATTGTCAGCAGCATCGAACCTGAGTTACTCTGGCGGTACCTATGGTGGAAGCCAGTCAGGCCATGCTGCTTCGGATTCCCTTTGCGCATTTGCGCATCCAGCTTGCCGGAAGTGTAGTTTCAATCATGAAGCTGATCCTTTGCAACGTATGGAGGCTTTCTTTGAAGGGCTGGTGCTGACCCCACAAGATTTCTTCCTGGCACTGCAGAGCAAACAGCAGAGACTACTCCTCGATATTCTGTGACGGGTTTCAGGAGAGATAAGCTGGAGCGAGTTGGTGCTACTGACAGGTGCGACATCCGACAGCGCTTGGGCAAATGCTGGAAATGAAGATGACTGGGGCACGTGGAAAGGCAGGTCGACGCATCTAGATGTAAACAAGCCTATCCAATACCTAGAATTGGCCTTACCTTACGTATGTGACTTGGTCGCAGATCGAAGTCGCTCTGCTCCGCGGCCAAAGGCGCGGGAAGGTGCCAGCCTTATGGGGTTGGCCAGCTGGGGTGTGTTGAGCATGAAGCCTGGCGTTGTTGCTGCAGCCAACTTGCTCTTGTACCCTTTCTCCAGATCGACCAGCTGCGAAAGATCATAGCCTTGGTTGGGCAGGACAGCAAGGCCAGTAGGCACAGGGCCACAATCCTCGCATGCACAGGCTGAGACTATTAGACGAGCTCAGGCTTGCTATTTTGGGCCATGAAACCGTCCAGGTAAGCAGAAAGCAAAGGAGGCCGCGGCATGTTGTTTAGTGCGAAGCTGACTTGACGCCACTTGCTTCCTGACGTTTTGCTATCTGGGCAGGAGCCTCCTCCAAAGAAAGCAAAGCTTGCATTCGCCCAGAAAGTCGCACAGGCCTCGTCGTGGCATGGAGTTATCTATGCAGACCGACCAGAGTTGCAGGCCAAGGAGAGCAAGATCAACAGCTTCAGGGAGGTTTTCTGCTCAGCCCAGCATTCAATGTACAAGCAGTGCGCGCACTGTGGCTGCATTTCGGCACCCGGTGTGCCATAGAGAAAAGCCCGTCAGCATCACAGCTGGCAGTGCTCAAAAGCGGGGCAGGCTATCAAAAGAGCGACCCTGCAGATTGCCTGCCAGGCTGTTATCGACCATGCCCCACGGGAAGTTGATTTCAGACATCAACATGATGACCGAACCGATGGCTGGATAGGCATACTCATGCTTTTAAACATCAGCCTGCGCTATGCATTGCCCAGCGCGCAAGTCCTCAGCATGTAGCCTTGTTTGAATCCCAGTTACATGGCCGATGACAGGCGAAGACACCCGAAGTGACGGAGGCGGGAATGGAGGATCTGTGCTGGCGCGAGGTATGTTTTGCATAGAGCACTCAGAAGACTAGAGCACTGTTGGATGTCGGGCTTCCTTTGGCTGTGACTAAAATGCATCAGCCGCTGGACGCTCATGTTGTTTGTGCTGGGCGGTAGGGCAGCCATAAACAGAACATCGGTGAAAGGCTGGGGTGGGAGCTGAACATTTGACGGTGGTGCTCGATAATTAGGTGGTTGACAGTTGCGCACAGGTTGGTGGCAGAAATGTTAGTTGGGCAGGGCGTGGCTGAGTTGATTCTTGGCCTAGCCTTGTTATCAGTCGAGTATCGATGCCCATTTTGTTCATTGTACTTGGGAGGCAAATCAACGGGCTCCAGGGAGCCCCTAGTTGGTCGGAACACCGACCTTGAGCGCACCTTCGTTCCTTGGTTCCCAACATGTTTTAAGCTGATACAGGGCTGGTTCAAGCACGGACAATCTAAACTAGCAAAATATGATGCCCATCCTCCAAAAGCCCAGCACCATCTACAACCCCCGCAATGCTCCATCTGTGCAGACACCATAGACTCCTTCGTAATTTTGATGCCCTAAACCCTAAAATCGCGTGCATAACACCAAGATGCGGTTTACCGGGCAGCCAAAGCCCGAAGATGTTCGGCCTCTTGAAGTCCTCCGTGAGGCACCGGCCTGGGCCAACCCTGCCCCAAGCAATAGATCAGGTTATCTGGGTTGCTGTTGAGGAACCCGGGTTGGCTATCCCCCTATAGTGGAGAATCACATGGAAAAGAACATGGAAAATGAAATGGAAGCTAGGGGGAATATAGGGATTTGAGTTGCCATGATGGGTATATATAGTAAGTAATATGGTTTCCCCAATAAAGTAACTTAAGTTAAGTTCCTTCACAGCAACCCAGTCATTTGTGAGTTGTGCGTGTTGGTTGGGTGGAAAAAGTTAGGAGCAGTCTTTTGGTCACGCAGGGACCTTTGAGAGATCGCTCGTGCCACTTGGAACGATGCATGTACTTGCACTCGTAGATGCTGATGGGGCAGGCTCTCACGATGGCCAAAGACAAATGGAAAAAAGAACGCGATTACAGCCACGTCGGCGAAATGTGTCATGGCCGCGTTGAGTCATTCGGAGCGAAGAAGCGATGCCTGCTTTACGACGGGCCAAGCAAGTGGTATCGTTTCCCAGAATTTTTTGGGGTCCCCTACAACAAGGATTCTAGTCTTTCGGATCTAGATTGGAATCCTCCTATTTATGGAAAGTGCGAAATCTAAAGTCGAAAGTGCGAAATCTCAAGACCTAATTGTGGTTGTAGATTTTTTTCAGAGATACATTTATCTATATATACATGCGTGTATGTGTAATCAGTATATACCATGACCCCAAGATGATGGGCCCATCCTAGGGGTTAAGAGTGCTAAGGTTAAGAGGCATCGCGCAGGATGTTAGAGTACAGCGCTTGAGCGGAGACTTTGCTGTCGAGGCCGGGTGGTTTCTACTAGCCATTTGTTCAGGAGAATGGAAAAGCAAATGGGAACTACTTCTTGTTTAGGGTTTAGGGGTTGATCAGGTCTATAGGGACATTGTCCGCCCACGAATGGAGAATCATATGAAAACAAAGACTGTGGATCATGATATGGAAGCTGGGAGAGGGATCTCGGATCGATGTGCAAGACAGGCGTGATCCAAATCCGATGTGTTTCGGCAGGTCCATGAGTACTGGGCGCAGGTCGCTCTGGAGTCAGGTGATTTCAGGGCGTTCCACACAGCCGCCCAGGACTTGGAGGCAAGCTTGGAGCGCCTTCTTACCCTAAACCCCCTTTTTACCCTAAACCCCTAAACCCTAAACCCATGTGGAGAGTGCTGGCAGGGATTTTACGATGAACCACAGCTGGAGAAAAATTCCGTCAAGGTCAAGGCCAGCTAAGCCCGTGAAATGGCATAATAATGGTAATAAAATGGTGGTAGAAAAAATAGTAGTAGGAATAATAGTAGTAATCATAGTCGAAATACTAAGGCCTATACAGACTAATACTAATAACCCCATAGGGGGTGCAAGAAGATTAGAAATCAGAGCAAAGTGGGCCAACCTGCAAGCAAGTGCAGAGCACCATTCAGGCTTCAGTAAGTGAATCCTATGCATCACCAGCTTGTGGGTGCAGCATGTGGCTGCTTGTGCTTCTTTATGATGTGCTGCCCCAGGAGATCTTGGCGTGGCATATTCTGTGCATGGGCATCGAGGTCTGCACACCTGTATTGTTCAAGTGAAGTGTGGGGGAGAAGTGAAGAACACGCTCTCCGCGTCGCCAGCAGCAAGTCAGCATGGCACGTGCCCTGCACAGGGCGAAGGAGTTGCCACCAGCCGGTTCTTGCAGAAGCATTCGAAGCGGCTCGGGCTTGGCGAGAAGAACGCTGCCCCGGTCGTGCAATTAGCAATGAGGCGGGCACGTGCAATCATTGCTCGGGATGGAAATTGATTCTTTCATGCGGCTGCTCAGTCTTCGAAGAAATTTGGCGCAGCAGCGCTTCCTGCAAGTGGTCAAACTTCTGGACTCGCAGCCGGCTACTCCGAAGCTTGACAGCACGGTGGGTACTTCATGGGGCTTTGTAGTAGAGCACTTGGTCGGTGGATCACCCAAGCTCTTCATGCAATCTCTTCTAGGCTGGATGCAGACGAGCCTCCGCTCATTCCCAACAGCCTGCGACCTAGCAAAGCGCTTTGCAAGCCCTTTTGCTTCAGAGATCCTCTTGAAAAAGTCTGGCAGATTGTCTCCCAGCATCCCAGCATGTGAGCACCGTGGTCCAAAGGATGACCAGCAGCACAAATTCTCCTAAAGCCAGTAAAGCCAGACTTCGAGGTCTCAGGTTGGAGCTGCTTCGGAAGGTCCCTTGCTCAAATTTATAATATAGTATAGAACAATATAGTTTTTTTTTACAGTATTTTATAGTGTATTATAGTATGTTAGTAAATTCTAATATTTTATAGTATATGAATTTGCAAGCGCTCTCCCTGCTTTTCTCACTGCAGCCCTCAACCGAAGGCCAAGCTCGAGGCCCTCATCTCGCTGTGCAAGGCCTCACTTGTCCATCAGCCCTCAAATGGGCTATAGTCTAAGCTCCTTAAAGGGGGGTTCTATAGGGGATTATATAGGGGACTAGTATGGGGAATATTAAGGGGGATACTAGGAGTTTTCACTATGGCTCAAATCACATTTCCAAAGTCCCCCCCAGTTTAAGTACTCGGGCCTGCATCCGTTCTGAAGTGTTTGGATTCTGGCCGTCCATCTGCTGCACAAGGCCTTTGACAAGATCCGAGACTTGCGTCGCTCGCGCCTTCAAAGTTTAGGACTGCTTGCTGGGGTGCCGGCCCCAATGTATGCATTTCTGGCCAAGATGTCATCATTGCTGCCACTGCCACCCGTGGAAGATGCAACAATAGAATAAGTGCCCACCCAGCAGCAGCAGCAGCAGCAGCAGCAGCAGCAGCAGCAGGAGCGGTGGTGGCAGCAGAGACGGAAGCAGTGGCGGCGGTGGTGGAGTGGTGTTGCAGGTTTGTACGCGCGGAGTCAAGGAACATCGAAGTAGGAAGCCGCCGCCGCAGGAGGAGTGCTAGCCGCTAGCAATGTGCGGATCGTTTTAATGCCCCCCAGATTTCCGGGCAACCAGTCTCGAAACAACCGTCCGGGAAAATTGGTGGTTCTCTCACATTCAAGAAGAACATCAGAGGCTCATCTAAGATGCTTTTGATTTAAATAGCAAATGAGGCTTGAACCTACTCTGGGACTGGCTTGGTTAAGAAAAGCAATACAGGCTGAATTCAAGAACCCAGACCCCCCTAAAGAATCCCAAAAATGGAACCCCCTAATAATCCTCTAGTTTCCCCAATGTAGTAATGGGTTCATATTGGGGGGGTTCCATTCTTTGGATCCTTTAGGGGGTCTGGGAAGGTTGTTGCCGTGACACTGTCTCGGCCAGCCTTTGCTGAAGCGAGTTTAGGCCCATGCTCGGGGTCATAGGGGGCGAAGCTCCGAAGCTGCTAGCTTCACTTGCTTCCAAGCTTCGGGCGAAGCCTCTTGCTTCACTTTTAGTAGGCGAAGCTCCGAGGCTACTAGCTTCTCTTGCTTCAGAGCTTCGTGCGAAGCCACTTGCTTTATTTTTAGGGGCGAAGCGCGAAGCTCCGAAGCTACTAGCTTCGCTTGCTGCAGAGCTTCGGGCGAAGCCAGTTGCTTCATTTTTAAAGGGCGAAGCGCGAAGCTCCGCAGCTACTAGCTTCATTTTTAGGGGTCGAAGCACAAAGCTCCGAAGCCACTTGCTTCATTTTTTGGGGGCGAAGCGCGAAGCTCCCAAGCCACTTGCTTCATTTTCAGAAGGCGAAGCGCGAAGCTCCGAAGCCACTTCCTTCATTTCTAGGGGGCGAAGCTCCGAAGCTATTAGCTTCACTGCTTCACAGCTTCAGGCGAAACCACTTGCTTCAGTTTTTGTAAGCAAAGCTCCGAAGCTGCTCGCTTCACTTGCTTCAGAGCTTCAGGCGAAGCCACTTGCTTCAGTTTTACGGGGCGAAGCGTGAAGCTCCGCAGCTACTAGTTTCACTTGCTTCAAAAACTTCGGAAAGCTTCGGGCGATTCCCGAACCAAATCTGGCGGTCCCTCGAAAAGTAGTCATCGGAGGCACCTGATGTGATGGGGCTCAAGCTGACAGCTTACTTGAAACAACTGGGGGCTTCCCAATAGGGACCTCCATAATAATAAGGGTAATATTCGGGTATATTGGGGTATATAGGGGGTATTATGGGGTTATATTGGGGTAATATCGGCGTTATTTTGAGGTTACATTGGGGTCCCCTGTTTATGCAAACTACCAAAAGCTCTTCAGACAAATGCAAGGCAGTGCAAGCCTATGCAAACACAGTCGGACAACAATCTTCAAACCTGGAATCCGGTACAACTCCAGTCCGCAGTCCCCTCCTCTTCTTTTTGGATGGTCAAGCGGGAAACTGTTGAATTCAATGTTGATACTTGCTGTAACCCTGGAAACCATGAAGCATCAAGCTACTTCAGGCCAACCAGTTTTAGGTTGACAAGCTGGCAAGCACATTTTGAACCATCTCATAGCTAACAAGCAGACTGTCTGAGGTTGGCAGCAGCAGGCGTCGAGGAGGAGGAGGAAGAGGAGGGCGGGGTGGTGGTGGTGGTGGTGGTGGTGGTGCTGGTGGTGGTGGTGGATAGACTGGCGTTGAGCAGAAGCAGCAACACAAAAAATATCAAGAAAACGTGGTGTGGGTCGTCTCCACGGTGATCGCGGAGAGATGGCAAGGATAGAGTTAGCAGCGCACACGGTGCGTGGACAAGAGCCTTGACAGTCATTAATCCAGAAGGTATAGCAGCTGGGCCCCAATGTTCATGTCCGAGTGGGGTTTGAGGCTGATGGCGACAGCGAGCTGCCAGTTGTTTACCAGGTTGCGGAGCATTGTTTGTTGCCGTGCTTTGCAATGTTGCCTGCACAATATCTGCACGCCGTTAACAGGCGTCTGACTGCGACCTGATAGACACGCAGGCAACTTTTGAAGAGGCAGGTGTGCAGCGACTCCGTCTTGCGATTGTCTTTGTCCCAAAGCTCGAAGTCCTGGGCAAGAAGAGCCAGGCATTTTTCGTACGCCGGGTCTCCTGCACTGTTTGTGAGGCAAAGAGGCTGCTCGAGCAGCATGATGTCAAGCAGGTGCTACCCACAGGACTGCCAGTATGTCTCTAAGCTCGAAATGAAACCCAGAGGTTCCATCACGTCTTGTCACCAACAACAGCTGGGTCCGTTGTTGGATTGGATGGAGATTCTTCTGCCAGCCAGTGCTGCGAGGAGGTGTGCGCATCGTCCGCCGCATGGGAAAGCCCTGTGATGATCATTTGACAAAGTTTGTGCGCCAAATCGGTGGTGTTGCTTCGTTGCACCATCATGCAGGTTGCAGGTTGGCTGTGTGAGAGCAAAAGGTAGGCAAGTATGATGATGCGGTCTGCCGTTGGCTTTGCCTTCGTCAGGCTGCGGCGAAACCGCTGCGAAAGCAGCCGAGAATGGTCGACTAGCGCTGGGGCAAGCTGCCGATGATGACGCCCCGGCGATAGCCATAGCCCGTAAATGTTGCAAAACATCCTAAGCACACATCTCGCTGTTCCGGTGAAGACTCATAAGATGACAGGCCCACAATTGATAGTGGCGAGAGTCGATGTTCTCATGTCTCAGGATGCCAGAAACAGTAATGTATTATTGTATGCTATATTGTCGTTGTATGGGGATAATGACACAAAACATAGAATCTACTATAAATTGGGGTATATATGCATACTCATACTCATCGTCAGGCCGCGTGTCATGAAGACTGGCGTGTGCGTTGGGCTAGTGCTAGCGCACAAAAGGTGGCGACTGCCATGTTGGAAGTCATGTTGGCATGTGGCGCTGAGCTTTTTTGCAAGTTGTCGCTTGTGTCTGTGTTCTTCACTGTCACCTGTGCTTCTGTTGAGCCGACATCCCAAAATCCAAGAACTCCGCTCATGAGGATTTCATGTGGCATTGCACTCACTCTTTTCATTGATGCAAGTTTTGGTAGAGGTGCACCTTGTTTGGGAAAAAATGTTGGTGGCGGCTCGGTTTAGATTCATTTCGGAGTTCCAGCTGGGGGGCGTGGCTTCCTCAACAGATGGAGCGGGGATACAGACTCCAGATAGCTCAAGCAGTAAAGCATGTCTGAGCCCCGAAGTTGAGCAAGATCTATCGCACACCTTAGCTAGGCAGAGGATAGAAATTCAGATCAAAAAGGCACCGGGGCAATCCTGGTTGCAGCTGCAGTAGCTGCAGCCCAGCTATGGTCTACGCAGTTGCTGCGCTCACTGCGATTCTGGCCTGGTCAGTGCAGGGGTCAGAAGTCACCCCTGAGGCCCACAATAGGGGAAATAAGGCTCCCATTTGGTCCCTCTAATCTATAACCAAAAGGGGCCCATAATTTGGAGAACAACCCAACCAGGAATGAAGGAATGGATCCTTCTCGTAGTCCCTATATAACCGACTATAGTAGTTTCCATTTTCTATTCCCTTCCTTCGTTCCCAGCTAACCAAAAGCCAGGATATTGGCTGAAGTGCCTCGTGGACATGCAAAGCAACATGCAGGTCTTGGCTGCGCGGCAGTGGAGAACATGGGGAGGACCAGGCCATGTAGTAAAGATCAAATTCACAATAGAAAATGGAACAATGTTAAAGATAGTAATATCAATAGAAATAGGAATAATACAATTACAAATAGGAATAGACATGATAATAGTATGAGAAATAATAATGGTAACATTCTTTCCCTAGCAAACGTCTGCCTGCCGTACAGACTGTCAGGTGGTGATGTGGCCAATGCAGGTCCAGCTTCACTGTATCCAGTTGTGAAGCCTGGGGACATCATATACCTGAGGCCAGGCAAGCGCTTGGGCTTCTTACATGTGAGTGCTGAAAGACTTGGTCCAGGGCCTACAACGGCAACCTCCTCGGTGTTGTGGCCCCAGCCGGAGGCTTTGAGTTTGTAAGCACTTTCCTTGCCAAGACATTCTGAGATCCGGGATTTCCACGTTGGAGCGCATTCGCGGGAAAAGGCCCTGGGTGTGTGTAGCACATAGACAGCTGTCCTATTGCTAGACGATGTTCCTGAAATTCCAGGCCTCAGGGCAGGCTTTCAAGGTGGAGAAGCGCTCGGTGGGCGATGTCTACCATGGAGACAGGACTCAAAATACATGCCTTTGCAGATTGACAGATCCGAGCCTCATTCTGGGAGGATATTCCTGACCAACACCAATGGATTCAAACTGGAGGTCAATGGAGATGAGGCGCAACTTCGGTGGCAGCTTCGAAGCCTTCGCATGACTTCTGGTGGCAGGTTAGTGCGCGTGGGTCCCACATGGGTCCCAAACAAGAATTTGTTATTGAGCGTTCCGGAGCAATTCCTAAGCCAATTGTCTTGGCCTCAGATGCTGTGGTAGTTGTTGGGTGCTACAGCTAGGTAGAGCGATTGATCCTGAGGCAGCAGGCGACACCATTTTTCTACGAGCACATACTGGCAAACACATCGCGACTTACCGGCAGAACGAATCATGTGTTTTTTTAGCCGAGCTGGTCAACTGTAAGGATGTGGTTGGGCACAATGTGCAGGCACGATTCACGCGCCAGGCCAGTGCCTGACAGCCTGCAGCATATAGACCAGATGTCACAGAGCGTGGCTGCCAGGGAATGGGCTACCACGCCTTCGTGGTTGAGAAGCAGCCTCGATAGTGCAGCACCGCAGCGAAGCTGCAATGTGCAGATCAAGCAAGTGGGCTTGAGTTTCACTGTGTTTCACTGATTCGCAGACAATCGTAGTAGGAGGGCAGAACCCTTTGCTGCATGGTCTGTACTGGACTGTCCTGGTTCAGCTCGGCTTGACAACATCTCTCCACTCGAAGCCATTTCGGCTCTAGTTATGTTCCTTACGATGATCACCCTTGGAAGGCAAACTGACCAAGGAAGAACCATACCGCCATACTGAACTGCAGCTGAGCCGATCCGGGTAGGAGGCGGTTGGCCCCCCACAAGACTTTCTTTGCGGCCGCATACCATTCAAGCAAGGAAGCCACAGCCACAGTCCAAGACATTGAAGCTACATCTCAGCATCTCCCCGGATGGCCGAAAGCTTCTCTTCGTGGACAAAAACTGCCGCTTCCGCGGCCAGCAAGCTACGTGCGCGGGCTGCAGAGATCACAGGACTGCCGCTGGTGCCAAGAGCTGATGAGGCGGGCTTCCAGGGGTGGAAGGCTCCTCTTGACTTGCTGGAGCACATGCATGGGTCGCCTAGAGTGTCGCCATGGGACACTTGAAATTGTCTGGATATTGGGGACAGATCTAGCCAGAAAGCAGAAATTGGAGGCAGCTGTGGACACGATGTGGACACGGAGGAAACTTGATGCTGGGGAAGGGGGAAGCGGTGGGAACAAGCCAGCCATTGCTTCATCATCTAGCTAGCAGGTTCAGGGCAGAACGTGGCGGAACAGCGAAGATTTTGACAGCTTTTGCATGGCAAAGTTGATCAACTCGGGCAAAGTCACCAGGTGTGTGGGGCTTTGAGTGCGTGGTCTTGCGTAGTTGAGCGCCGTGACGACTGGTCCCATACTAACGAGACCTGTGCTGGGCACTCAAATGAGTGTTAGGTTTTACAATCTGGGGTTGGGGTAAGGTGGGCTCGGTTTGAGTTGTGGTAAGATATGATAGAGCCGGGTAACCGGTAGGGCAAGTCTTGACATGCATTTTCTTGATTCTTGACGTGCCTGCTGGTTCTCCACGTGCGCCTTCCTTGTGCCCGACACGCGCCAAGATTTTCGGACACATGGTTACCCACACATGCCGCACCCCATCCCTTGACAGATGCTTCTTGTAACCTCGCCCGGAAAAGTGGAAATTACTCAGGCTTCAGCGGATGGAGTGGGATGGAATGGCTTCAAAAGCACCTTGCTCTCCACGACCTGATCTAAGGCTGTAAGCAAGGATTCAGACAAGCATGGACACCCTTTTCCCCCCAACCCATCCCCCACACAAAGGATTTGAAGTCATGCCAACAGCGTGCATTTTCGCGCGTTTCCATGGGGGTCTTGAAGCACTACGCCGAGTGCCGAAATTAGGTAGGCCGGTACTTGGCATTTCATGGGCGGTTGCTTAGCTCCTAGGCAAGGCGCCGAGAACATGTCAACCATATCAGTAGTACATTTGGAACCTGCACAAAAGCTTCTTCTGGACCTCAAGAAAACCTAGAATCTCTAAAGCAGGTCGTTTTTGCAGTTTGACCGAATGTGCCATCAAATGCAGTGGACAGCAAGAGCCCTCATTGGCTCATTGGCAAGGGCTCCATCCATCCTGTACACCTGGGAGGAAGGAGCCCTCCAATGGCCATAGGACAGGACAGCGAGAAGAGCCAATAAGAGTGAAGCAGCCGTGCAGCCAGTGCCTCAAGTCAGTTTCTCTGCGGTGTAGGCAGCTAGGTGAGAGGGTAAAAAAAGGGACTGCTTGGTCTGCAAGAAGAAGAAGCGGATGAGGAGGACAGAAAAGAGGATGCTTTGTATGGTGCTAGCGCAGCCTCCCGAAGAAGTAGATGGCAAGAACTATCTTGTCAGGCCTGGGAGGTTGATTTGGAGGCAGCGATATGGAAGCGCCGGGAGAAGAGTGTTGCAGCCAGGGAGGAGTTTGGAAATTTTGCCTGTTTGTCCATATTTTCTTCTGAATCAAGCAAACCATCCAAAGTTTTGGCTTTAAGTGAGTAACTGTTGACCCCAGCAGCAACTGGTTGCATCAACTGTTATAGCTGGGTGCCTTGTCTTTGACTTCCGAGTTTCAGGCGGACGTTGACCTTGAAGCTGGTCTCCCTTGGCGCGGCCGCACCGTGGTTTCTGAGGTCGCCGTTGGTAGTTCGCGGCGGCGCAGCTGGGAAGCTTTCATGGGCTTGCTGAAGGTATTCCAGAGATGCATATGCGGTCTTGTGTTATACTGCTTACGCAAGCAGGCTCTCCATGTTTGGATTCACAGTCAGCAGACACAGCTGCTAGAAGGGGTCGGGTTATCTTTTGTCGGCTGGGTGTTTTACACGTCGAGCAGCATCCACACTGGGGGATCCAGTTCAAAAGCATTCACTATTTAGAATAGATGTTATCCAACAGCAATTCTTGCAACTGTGCTTTTCTACGGCATCCACAGGGTTTCAGCTCATGATGCGGCATGTTTGTGTGGCATCGCTGTATGCTGCATGCTGTGTTCCACTCCTGGAAATACGACTCATCTCGGAAATTACGCAAACTGCTCGGATGTATAGGGGGTTCTCCATGTGAACTGATGGCATGCATCGGGGAATGACAGTATCTCATCATCCCATGCTGGGGCATGTGTTAAACCATACGAAATTTCAGCCTTGAATCTTGTGATTTGCTTCTCAAACCTCAGCGTCCGAAGCAGAACGGGAAATTCCGACCTTACGTCGGGTTGCCCTGGAATCACCGTCTAAATGGGGATTGCCATTTTCTCACGTGTAAATATCCAGCAGATGTGAGACCTTCCCGATGCCAGCGTCCGCCGTAGATGACGTGTATTCTCACCGAGTGGGGTGTGTTAACCACGGCGCTTGTAATAAAGACTTCGTCATTTTCGACTGCACATTTGTCCGTGGCCTTCCTTGCAGTCACTCTTTCAGCTTCCACGGGGGATTTTCCGTGACCCTGAATCAAGTGTTCATGCTGTGGGATGCTTCTGCGACTTAGGTACGCCCTCACGACGGGCCAGAGCGACATGCCAGCCCAAGTCGAGGCATTTCCTGCACTTCACACTCTGGCTTTTGTGATGGGAAAGTAGGGGCGCGGTGACCGAGCCGTGCACCAAAGAAGGGTAATGTGTTAATATGTTTTAATGTGTTCGTTTGAAAAGAAACTCCGTCTGCTTTGTGCACGTATGCGAGGCCAGTCACGCACAAGAACACAAGAACGCCGCGGACAAGCAGTCCCCTTGCAGGCCGCAAGGCAGATGTTCCCGCGGATGTCGCAGAAGCTGGTGAGGATGCACGGGAAGCCAGGGAGACGGCAATTCCACCTTCACAAGGCACGGTGGCCCCTCCCCCGCAAAAGGCGACGAGCTTAAGCCTGGCTGCGGCAATTCCCAAAAGAGCTGGATCTGCAGCGACGGCGCCGACCACAGCACCTCTAACGCCTCCAACGCGGAGCGAGCTCCAAGATCAGGGTGCGTCCACATTGCCACCTCCATCGTCATCCAGCGGTGTGACAGATCCCAGTGCACCTGTCGGTCAGTCGCGATCTGCAGAGATGCAGAGCGAAACCACCGGCAAAGTGTCTGTCAAAGCAGCTCCACCTCGCAAGTTTGCCACAGCGCGGCCAGACCTCGATCGCTTGGATGAGAGCACCGAAGCCAACAGAGCCGCCAACAGAGAAGGGCTGCAAGATTCATCCAGCTCTTCCCAGGCAAGTGCAAGTGCCAGCAAAGCTCTGGACAATTCAGCCTTCACGCGCGTCAACGCAGAACCTCAAGCACCAACACCGTCTTCATCTGGAATACGTTCTTTCCAGCCCATTGCGCCGGTGGCTGGTGTTTCAGCTCCCCCAGTCTCAGTTCCATTGCGAACTGCAGGTTTGGGCAAACCCACAAGATTCGAGGATGTCCAGAAAATCACGGTCTTGGCACCATCCCCAGCCAAGGCCAAAGCTTTGGCCACAGGAGCCAAGGAGGCAGCTCGACAAACCGGAGCTGAAGCCAGTGAAAGCTGCGATGAGGGCACGCCAAGGCGCACTGAGAAGCAATTGCAATTGGTGCTATTCTGTTGCTTGTGCGATCTGATCAGGACGCCAACTGCGCTGGCAGTTCCCACCCGCAACAAAGAACAGCTAGGCGGCTAGCACAGCGCGGGTTGTGAGGATGTTTAAGGGTAGGAAGGCATGAGGTGCCCTAGGTTTGGGGAGCTTCATGAGCAGGTGCGCTGCAGTGTGGCGGCTGCACGCGAGACCCTGTCAGGTCTTCCTGGCAGGAAGGCTTAGGAGGTGCCATGTGCTTGATAGCATTGTGGGGGGGTCTCTGTAATAAGGATTATCGCATTCTGGGGTCCCCCTACTTTGGGAAACTACCAATCTTTCAAGCCCTAGAAACCCCACGAGCCTAGTAATCATGAGAATAACATTAGTAATGGTAATAGTACTAGTAATGATATAGTCTCCCTACGTAGATAGAATATGGCTTTGGGTATATGATAATAAGATCCCCATACACCCCATCTTCTATCTACTTAAGGGGGACTATATGTTACATGAAACAGAATGCTTGAGCGAACCTTTTGGCACCTGCAGGTGCAGTGGCTGTCCCCGTGTTGCCAGCAAGCTGGACCACTGACCTTCCCGAATCGGGCATTGATCCGGGACCTATAGCCAGCTGGCTCGAGGCCTGAATCCCGACATTCACGGTAATCTACCAGATATAAGTAATCTACTACATAGTTCCAGTTTCCATTTCATTTTCCTTTTTCTTTTCACATTTGATTCTCCATTCTTGAGGTTTAATGTCAATTTTTTTAAAGCCCCTTTAGCCAAGCCATAGGCAAACAGTCCGTTGCCTTCGCCGTGCAGGGGATGGATTGCCAAAATCACGACACCTTTTTGGTGCGCCCCAGATATTTTGGGGCCTAGTCCCCGAATATTAGGGCTGCACTACACAAGGGACCCAGCCTTCCATGTGTCTGACGCATATGAGCTATAGTCTTAACTCCTGAAGGGGGGTTATCTGGGGATGAGATAGGGATCTTATAGGGAGTATCAAGGGGGCTACTAGGAGTTTAGACTATAGCTCATATTGAAAATCGACAGGGCCGCTTGTCCTGGACTGGCTGCTATTGCCGGATCATAGATGGCCTGCGGAGATACACTCTTGAAGAGGGCGAGTCTCCTGCCAGAAGATTATTTGGTGGGCTATTTGGTGTTTTCTAGGGGTTATATAGGGGTTGGTATGGCTAATGAAAAAGAAGATGGACATTTCCAAATTCGAGGGTTATATAGGAGTGGTCCATTCAAGCAGGTTTGTTGTCCAAGCCTGACACAGTTTTACGTGCGATTTGGGGGTCTTTGGATGGAGCAGCAAGGAGACCGACCAGGGTCGCAGAGGATGCCGCGGCAGACATGGGCTGGCAGGCCAACCGCGTAGACTCAAGTCATGAAGCAAGGCTCTGACGCCTTCGGTTGGGGTTGTTGGCATGTCAGCAGCCTTCCTACCTTGACCTGGTGTTGCGATTGCAGCATGACCTGCAAGCACAGAGGCGCGCAAGATCCTCGCCGAGCACATCGGCCTTCACGCGCCATCATCTTTGCTGGCTTTCTTGGCTGGGGGTACACCATCCATGCTTGCTGCCCCTAGGTTGACAAATCGAAGGCCTTACAGTGATATCTTGGAATACGCTGAGCCATTAGTAGTTTCCATTTTCTTTTCCATTATCCCCAATATCACACCAATTTACTATAGTGGTTTCCATTTTCTTTTACAATTATCCCAATGTAACCCCAACATGTACCCTACAATCCCTGTATAACCCATTATGGTAGTTTCCATTTTCTTTTCCATTATCCCTATATAACCCCAATATATACCCTAACCCCTACATTCATCTACATTCTTCTTGCGCAGCTGAGGAAGCGAAAACATTGGAAGGACTGCTGCCGCGTGGCTCCAAGGAAAAGCCAGCGCAGGCCCGGCGGCTTCGCGAAGCCCAAGTGTTCTTAGGATTATAATGGGGTGTACTGGGGTTATATACGGGGTCATATTAGGGTTATATAGGGGTTGTACTAGGGTTATATATAGGGGTTACATTGCGATAATGGAAAAGAAAGTGGAAACTACTATAGTATAATAGGGTTATATTCAAACAGACCATGAGGCTTTGACGAATGCATATCAGTGGTTCATTGGAGGTGCCTTGGCTGCAGCATTGGAAAGCTCAAATAGATGATGTTCTTCTCTCAAACAAGGTTTGGGCCTGGGACCGGAGGGCCTTCGTGAGGGTGGTGGACGACTGCAGATGGCGCTCGCCTTTCGGCGCTTGCAACTTCGGGCGCGCATGGGTTGCGGTCGAGAAAACTTACTTTCGGTCTACAATTTATTGTTCTGTGTGTCCAGAACTTTTGAGCGACGGAGTGTCGCAGGCCCACCCTGTACAACACGGCTCGCAGCGGAAGCCACGACCTTGTGATGAAGTCTAGCGAGGGTTTCATGCGCAGCCTTTCGCACCATGAGGCTGCTCGAAGCGAGCATCTCCCTGGAGACTCTGCGAGCCGCAGGTGTTGCACAACGCGGAGGTCGCATGGCGCGATGTGATGATGTGGGCAGCCCCTCGGCTCCATTGCAGGCAAAGAACAGCCTCATGCGTTCTGATGACTAATTTAATCGCTACCGCGAGTGCCGCCTCGGGGGCGAGGGGCCCGACAGCCGCGCAAATCAGAAGCTGTATCAGCTACCAAGATCTAGATATGGCTTTGTTTGTTATCCTTTTCTGTGAGGATCTGGCAGGGCCCCTAGATAAACCGCATCCAGGCCTTATCCGCCTTCTGTCCCCCTCAACATCCTGACTGGAGTACTGCTGCATCTATTCAAGCAAAAGGGCAGGAGAGGCGGGGGGACGCTCAATCGCTGTGGTGGGACCAGCCCCATGACCTGGGGAACCCTGCCAAAGAACCGGGCCAAGCCGGACCCCAAGCCAAACCCCCAAAACGACAAGAAACTTGCCCGACCAATGTCAGTTTCCATTTTCTTTTCCTTTATCCCCATATAACACCAATTTACTATAGTAGTTTCCATTTTCTCTTCCATTATCCCAATGTAACCCCTTAGCCTTAGATCTAGTTGCCCCAGGCCTCCGGCCTTGGAAGATTCTCTGCGCCCAGGAGAGCTGACAGATCACGAGCTGCTGCTACTGATTGAGATACAGAGCCAAAGAGATGATCGTGCCGCAGCAAGACTTGGGAATGAGAGGGCAGCACTTGCCGCATGTTGAGAGAAGAAAGTCTTTAGGTGGTATACATCCTGAATGCCTGCATGAGTTCCTTGACTCAATGCAATGGCCATTCTTCAGGTGAGCTGGAGGCGCAAGGCTTCCTTGATCCGCCTCGGTCCAAACGCCTTTTTGCCTACGCGCGCTCCCTCGAAGTGATCCGAGACTCGGTGCATGATAGCGCAGTTTCCCGTGCCTTTGTTTCGTGCTTTCAGCGTCCGTGCTTTATAGGCCTGTAAAAGTGGGAAGCGATTGAACACCAAGCAGTTCAAGAGCAACTCCAATAATCCGGCCGTCTACTACGACAGCTCTTTGCAGCCAGTCGCCGCTGAAAACTGCACCCAAAGTCAGAAAAAAAATCATGAATCTGGACGGTCACCGGTCACCGAATCCATGCTCGAAAGAGCCGCCAAGCAAAAACTGACTGGTTCTTCGGATGGGTCCGGGGAGCTTATGATTTTTCAACGTGCAGGCTTAAGTTGCCCAGCAGCCTTGCGTTGAACAAGATGTTTACATAGACAGTGCAGACCGAAGGGGCTTAACATAGGGCACGCATGGGGCGTGTCACCATTGCTGCTGATGCTGATGGTTAGAACGGGAGACAATATGAAGGCAGTGATGCCGAAATGAGCTGCCTATTGCTTGCAAATCGCCCGAGATTGATGCGCATGTGCACATGGGTAGTGCCGCATGAACTTGCATGAACGCGGAGTGGCAGCATCATCGGGCATGTTCAGAGAGAGTGTGATGCTCAACATGCCGAGGAAAGGACCTCAAAGGAATACAGAAAAGCTTGTCTCTGGATAATGCAAGGCCAGCTGAGAATTATGGTGCCCCCCACTCCCATTATATTAGATATTCCCGTTGTGGTATCTTAAAGCATTGGGAACATTCAATAGTAATGGGGTGCAGTCTAGAGACAAGTTTCTGGTGCTCTTACTCACATCAATGTGAATCTAGCTTGTCGCCAGGCAAGTGCTCGGGCTAAGCCACAGCGCATCGACGGAGCAGCTGACCAAGGTGAGATGAACAGGAAGAGCTGTTTTGGTAACATGGAGACTGCGACATTACAGTTTGGTATATGGGTAGTTCCCAAATGTAGGGTCCCATCTTGGTACCCCTGAATAATAGGTGCCGTGATATAACCTATACCCAAAAAGGGGTCCAACATTTTGAGAACAGCCCATACGTAAAGATGATTTCGTGCCTGGTGGCGCAAGAAAGGCCTGGCCTTTCCGCCTTCCAAAACCCAAACCGGAGTGGGGGTTTCCCAAAATTAGGGGTACCCTTTTTGGGGATCCCTATAATAAGGATTATAGTTTATATTGGGGGTCATATAGGGGTACCTTAATTTTGGGAAATTACTGAGTCCCGATTTACCTCTGGATGCTCCAAACCATGAGGCGCTTCTGTAAAAGAGAGGTTCTCGCCACTTTCGATGGTATCTTAGGGCTTTGGGGGTCTTCCGGTCCTTATTTCGATCTGAAATGGGACCCCAATTGGGTCAAACACCGGAGAAAAGCTATCAAAAACCGTGGTGGAATATGGTTCTCTGCGCAGGCTGACCATGTTTTAGCTCACATGTACATGTCTGGCAATTTCAAAGCAACATTGTAACGTATTTGATAAGCTGAACTGGTGCTAAAAGCTTAGGGGCAAAACACACCAAAAAAAATGCAACGTGGATAGTTTATGGGTTTGGTCAAGGCCTTTCGCATGCTTCTCAGGCGGTGCAGGTGCTACCAACAATAGTTGTTAAAACCACAAACATGGCTCACAGCACGTATTTTGAGCGTTTCGTTGGGTTTATAGCCCACAAGAGCCAGCATCATGAGCATCATGGGGCTCGTTTGGGCCCCCAATCTCCTTCTTGACGCCGCGCGTATGAGGTTCCAGCACCCCTCCAAAAACCTAGGTATAAAACAGTAATTTCATTGTTCAAACCCTTACAAAGAAGTTAAATCGCTGAATCTCACCCCTTTCCCACCTCTTCCCACCGTTCCCACCGTTCCCACCGTTCCCACCGTTCCCACCCTTCCCACCGTTCCCACCGTTCCCACCGTTCCCATCCTTCCCACCCTTCCCACCCTTCCCACCCTTCCCACCCCTTCCCACCCCTTCCCACCCCTTCCCCCCTCACCCTTCCCACCCCTTCCCACCCCTTCCCACCCCTTCCCACCCCTCACCCTTCCCACCCCTCACCCTTCCTTCATGCATTCTTGCTACTGCTTTCCTAAGAGGAGGATGCATGTGAGGTGGGCGCATGTTGCAGAGGTTAAAGCCTGTTTGCCATGTGCTTGTCACTGAAAGTTCTCGCATTCAATCTGGCCCTCCAACCCCGTCCAGCCCTGTCCCAATCCTTCCCACTTTTCCCCACTCCCTTCAGGAACAAGATCTCTCAAGCTGAATCCTCCACGTTCCGCACAAGAAGCCACACAAAATCCCTCAATCCCATATTTTCCCCCACCCCCTTCCACCTTCCGCCCACCTCAAATCGCTTAATCTGACTCTGCTCCAGCGATCCACGAACCAACCCTTCCCGCCCCGCCCCCTTCCGAGCCCTTCCCACCTTCCATGTAAAAAAACGCTTCCACCTTTCGCTCCCACACCCACCTTCCACCCACCGCCTTTCACCGTTCGACATCGACATTCCCTCCACGCGCCCATGTCTGCTTCCTGCCTCTCAATGCAGCTGCTGGGCGCCATCCCGAGGGTTGGCGGTGTAGGCATAAGACAGGACGGGTCTATGTGAGGATTGATAGGGAAGGTTCTGTGCAATCCGCGCCTCAGCATTCGGTGAGTAGAAGGATTTGCCATCAGCTGTGGCGTGTTTCTTGTTTTTGTAGGCCTACCGCAAGAAGGCTCTCCAGCTACACCCGGACAGGCGCATTTGTTCAAGACGTTGCAGAATTATTGCGTTGGGCTGTTGTGGCGCTCACAGTTCAGAATGTGTAGGGTTCAGGTTCAAGGTGCAAAAGTGCCAGTGATTGTTGGGGGCCATGGCTGTGCCACCTGAGTGCAACGAAGATTGGTTCCAGCTGGTGCCGCACTTGCTCTCCAGAGAGGGCTGGGAGGTGGCCATTGAAAGAGGACAGTCCAGCTTATCCCACTGTGAATGCCCATGGGGTGGGCATATCATCAAGTGCTCGGTTTGGGACGTCACGGTGACAGACCCTCCTGAAGATCCTGCAAACATTCTCGTAAGGCCCGAAACACGTGGACGAAATCAGTTCCGCTGCGGAGACCGACTCGGCCAGATGGAGCTGGTGCAAGGGGGGCACGCAGCAAATATCGTGTAAATGAAAACACACCGGAAATGTGTGAAAGGGTAGATTCCGAAAGATTCTCTGTAGATCCGTAGCCATAGCCCTTGAGGTGCAGCATCTGGCGCCTGGCGAAGCCCTCATCAAGCGCTTCTCTTCTTGGGGGATGCTCCGCCTCTGTACCGTACTCTTCGGCAGGCTTGCAAAGCCATATGTGGAGTTCTCCTTCACAGCTGCCGGCGCAGGGTGCACAGCCCTGCAGAAGATGTCTCGTGACTTCCCCTTGCAGGGAGACTGCGCAATTGGGCTTTTCCATTATACAGGTGAACCGCCAGAAGGATGCTGGTCTGCAACCAAAGCGACTATCTCGTGTTTCCTTTTGTCGAGTCGTCAATGGTCCCATTCCAGAGAACCCAAGGAATGCTGCATTGCCGCCCACAGCCAGATGGCAAGTTCAGCATCGCAGGGATCTTCAGCGTGTCGGAGGACAAGTTTGCCCGTTGGGCCACCACTCACTTCAGGTTGCTCGTGGAGTCGTGTCGAAGGACCGATGACTGGTTGACCAGCGTGCCACGCCTAGGCAAATGGATAAGACTGTAAGGCATTAGCATGTAGAATAAGAAGGGTTTTGCTTGCGTTCAGCTAGGCTGCTAGGCTTACGGAGTTTAACGTTGCATGGGGCTCTTGTGTGCTCCTGACACGATGTAGCACCTAAATAGCCGACATTGAAGCAACGCCTGCGGAGGACCACTGAGTGGTGGCTGAATCGTCCTGGCATTGTGGAACTGAGGAAGTTGGACGAGCAGGCCTATGTGGCCTTGACCATACAAAGCTGGCAACGAGGCTTCCCATTTCTTCCCTGTAAGGGCTATGAACCGACAGTGAAAATTGCAGCAGGAGAGGCACTTGGCCTCACCGGATGGACACGCTTTTCCCCTAGCATGGTTGGTGACGAGAAATTCCGCTTCTCGAAGTACCTGCAGCTGTTCCTGGACAAGCTAGGGATGCATGTCAAGGTGTTTGACACGCTCGACGGACGCCTACTTGTGCCTTATCAGTCTGTTGTGCTGCGGGAGGAATGGATGCAGATCAGGTCGCGTTTTCTTGAAGCTTTCTCTCTGCAAAAGACAGCATACCGCCATGCCAATGGTGGAACGACAGCGCCAAATGTGCATGATAACTCAAAGCCACGTTTTGTTCCAAGGTCCAGCTGTGAGATTCTGAGCCAGAGGATTGAACTGGCGCAGAGGAGGTCAGGTCAGCACAGAGTCATCGTCAGGCACACGTTTGTAGAAGTGCCCGATGAGGACCCTGATGTCCAGCAGCAGCCGCCGGCAGAAAGGCACTACCGACGACCGAAAACGGATTCATCTTTGCAGATCAAAGACGACTTTGTACATTCACGCTGAGTCACCGTCAATTGCAGGGGCTCTTTTGAGTGGACAAACACTCTCCTGTCCACTTCCTGGTGACTTGTATCGCCGGGGAAGCGTGCCATTAAAGATATGAACTCCTCGCTGCGGTGGAGCGTGTTGTGCACAGACTTCTCAACGCTCAGCCGCACGCAATGGCAGATGCTCCCCTACCTCTGTAAGCTGGGGGGGGACAGTTGCCATTGTCTCATATAGCGCACATGTACAGATCAGCACTGTGGCGTTGCATGATATTTTCTCTGGAGCAAGAGGTTTTGCCCGTGTATAGGCTGGGTGGGAGGGATCAAGGCTCAACCTTGATACCTCCCGTCTGGTAATTGGCATCTCAAGCAGAGGAAACGCCAAGAAAGGCCAAGGAGCCAACCAAACACGCAAAGGCTTGACCGGGCTGATGCAAAAGAGCCATCCAGTTAGAATCCAGTCCACTCGCTGGTGCCTCAGGAGCAGGGGGAAGCATCTGAAATCTGATTGATGCCTGCCCAGCTGCAGGTGCGGCGAAGCTTCAACCGAAGCATTTCAATCCCTGCAGGATGCATACCAACTCCTTCTATCGCATGCGGACGCCTGGACTGATTTCTGTTGATGAAACTTCGCATGCACGACACCGTGCGATGTCCCTTATTTTCCACACCGTATCACAGTCCTCAAGGAGCGTAATAGTAGCCCAATATACGGGTCCTCAACTCGCGGAGCCCAGATCCAAAAATACGGGTCCTACAAATGGCTGTTATAACGTGGTGGCAATATCCAGCCGTAATGCACCTGCATCCGAACTTGTAGTGTTTCACATCAGTGGCCTTGCGTGATTCAGGATAGAATCGCGCGGGCCTCTGAAGTCGATGTGGTCCCAAAGATTGGGCCCAATGAGACAGTGGTGCCGGGTGTGGAGTTCAAGCACCCTGGCGCAAGGCAGCAAGCCTGTTGCCGCTCAGCTAAAGCAGGTAAAGTCGCCTAGGCTCCCCAAAGAGTCTGGAGCTGATGATCTCGCTTTCAAAGCGGATATCGCCCTCAAACACGCGCAGGCTGCAGACCGTTGGCTGAACATGTTCAATCTATCTTCTCCAACTTGCTCCATGTGCCTGGCAGACGTTTTTGGACATGCAGCTTCTGACGAACAAGCCCTCTGCCCGTCCTGCTCGCGCCCACTCCGCTCCTTCGAAAAGGAGCACCGTTGTGTATTCATGTTCTCTCTGCGTCCAAGTGTTGGCACTTCCTGGAAGGACCTTGGATGCTGTGCTGGAAGAATCAGATGAGGGCGATGATGAAGATGACGCCACAGATGAGCCAGACGAAGGTCCACGCTGCATTCGCATGTGGCAGTTTGGGCCCTTGGGGGGCATAAGAATGCGAACTGTTACATGCTTCGGATTTGCCTTATCCAGACTGAATCACAAACAGCGCAAACTCGCCGAAGCAAAAAGACCTCAACTGGGCTTCTTTTGTGTGGCTACCTCGCATTGAAGTTCAAACCACGTAGACGCAAGTAAAGGCCTGCCAGGCTCCCCGAAGAGCCAAAACCAGCCTAGCTGCCTAGCTACTCAAGGCTGCACCTGGCAGAACATAAATTCCGAACTCACCAGCGTCAGAAAAGCCCACACGACCAGTTGGACATTTGCTTCCTCGCTGTGCAAAGTGCAAAGACTTGAGTGTTTGCTCGTGGATGTTTCAGGAAGGGGTCGCGCAGGCGAAGCAGACGAAAATCAAGGCATATGGCGTACCAGCAGTCGCCATGGACGCAGTAACCTGCTGCTGTACTGCGCAGGCGAAAGAGTTTTTCATCATCTTTAGCGTCCCAGGAATGTCATGTCATGCCTGCTCCTTTGTGTGCAGGCCAGGTGCGAGATACTGGCAGATCGGCTGCAGAAGTGGGGAATTCTGCAGTGGCGACGCAATCCCAGGCCGGGATCTGCTGAGAACAGGTTTTTCATGTCAAAGCATTCTGTTCGTCACAAAAATCTCCCATGCATTTGGCCAACTCTGGGGCTAGCGAGACGAAGCCTTGTTTTGACAAGGAGGAAAATGAACTTTCTCATGAGTGGTGTTTGGTCAGGTGAGAAGTATTTTATTTGGGGATACTACCCAATATAGAGTAAGATTCTATCCTCGTTCAGGGGTATAGTATCTTATATAAGAAGGAATGTTATCTTACTCGGTTTAACCACCAAAAAAAACCGCTACTCAGGTGATGCCGCTGATTCAGGCCGTCAAGGAACTCATGCAGACGATGCCCGATGAACTCTTTGGTGACGTCATAAGGGAGGCCAACAAGTGCCTGTCCCAGCACCTTGTCAGAAATAGCAGCTTTTATGCCAACATTGATCCGATCAATTCGTTTGGGAGGATTACGTCTGCGTGCGCGCTGGGGCACCAAGCCAGTCAGCAGGGCATCGGTGCAAGCAACAAAGCCATGCAGTACAATGACCCCCGGCTGCACCTCCTGGCACTTGAGTGTGAGACGTGCTTGAACTTGTTCAAGATCAAGTGAGCCGTAATCTAAACTCTTCAAAGGGGGTTATATAGGTGATTATATAGGGGACTATTATAAAGGTTCTTAGGGGGATACTAGAGGTTTAGACTATGGCTCAAGTGCTTCGCAGAGGACAGCAATGCTTTTTGGGAACCGCAGGGTGAGTCTGGCAGGCCCAAGGGCCGTGAGGCTGGACTGTTCCAACCTACAAGATATATGGGTCTACAGTATATGTGGTTTATACAGGGTTTATATAGTGTTTATATGGGGTTTATATATTGGTTTATACAGGGTTTGTATGGGGTTGCAGAGCATTGCAGAGCCTTACAGTCCGACGGGGCCGCATAGACAGCCACTACTGGTGCATTTGGGGCAGTTAATTTGGATGCCTCCTTTTTGTCTTTATGTGAGTGTGGTGTTTCTTGTTGTGACTAGGCTACTCTGGGGATTTAAATTCTGTTTCCCCTGCAATCACAGCCAGGCGGGAGGGAAAACATGGGCAGGTCATGGATGAGGCGACGCAGGCGGCTCTCAACTGCGCAGCTGCAGTGATGGCTCTTCATGACGGCTTCGAGGCCGGAAGGACTTCTATTATTACTATTGTTATTATTATTGTTGTTACTATTGTTATTATTATTGTTATTACTATTGGTATTACTATTGTTATTACCATTGTTATTAGAAGTGGTTGATGAGAAGTGGAGCCTATATTGCTCACCCGCTAACAAGGCCATGTAAGGTGTTTCCTTGTAGCAGGAATCCCAAGATGTGACTGGTGGGCTATCTGCGGTAGTGAAACTCTAATGTATTCTAGTGTCATGTGGTTGTTGGGTCATCTGAGGCCTCTCATCGTCTGGCCGCATTGCTAACCCACGCGTTGAATATGCGGGCGAAAAATGGCAACCTGGCAATGCATCTTTGAGCAGCAGATGTGCGCTTTGCCGCCGTGACTGTTGTGCGGCATTAGGTGAATCAGACCCACCTCCCATCAAGGAGCGGTCGCAGAATGGCCAGGGAGCTGATGCCACGCAATCAGGCAATGTTGAGTACTCGCTGCTTTTGCAGGAGAGGCTGCCGAAGGAAGAGGACCTGACCGATGCAGAGAAGCGTCGACGGCTGCTGCGCATTGCCAGCGACATCTATGCATCGAACCTTGCGGCCTTCTCAGAGACGCAGAGATGTTTTTGCGGCATTGTCAGGCTTTGCTAGGCTTGCCCAAGCTGAGGAGATGCTTCAGTGGCAGCGGGAGCTGCGCGACGCGGTGCGATGCCGGCCAAATCTCCTCGACCCAGCAGCTTGGACAATTGGTTGCCCGCTGAGCTCGCTGCAGCGGAGTGGCGCCGAGGTCTCGGTCTGGGAAAAGGAGGCCTTGTTCAGCATGGCTTCAGAGGTGCGGCTGCGCTGTGACAAGCCCGTCATGACATCGATCGAAGTGAGGTGCTAGAAGGCTTAAAGCAGCGCCTGGCCGAGTGTGACCCAAGCGATGGCTTTGAGCCTGTGGAGGACGCGCAGCTTTCATACACAGTGGGCCTTTCAGTTGAGGAAGCCCTGAGTCGAGGCCATTCTATCCGTGACCCTGGCGGCGGCCAGCCTTCGCCGAGTGGCGTCTCCTCCGTCTATCGAGGCAGAAGTTCCGAGATATTCGCAGAGATTTTTTGTTTGTGTTGGGGGGCTGAGCGCAGGCCCGGCTGCTGCGGCTGGCGGCGCTCATTCACGCCACTGCCCTTGTCAAGCTGCTTGAGGACCAAATCTCTGCTGGAGCGGCGAAACTTTTCCGTTACACTGTTGCGCCATACCTGAGGAGTTCTTCAGCTTTTGCCTAGCAGACCTAGGCCAGCTCGAACTGACTTGTGGGAGCCTGTGACTGTTTGCAGCTCACAGAACTGAAGGCAACCGCTGCTTTGAGCCCCGCGATGTGAATCTCATGAAGCGCCGCTGCGATCAAGCAGTGGGAGATCTGAAGTTTCTGCAGGCCAAGCTGTGTTCAGGTAATGAAGCGGTGACGGCCAGTGCCCTCCTTGAGGTGGACGGTTCGGTGCAGTACACGGGCTAGCACATCACATAGCGATCAGATGAGCCCCTGTGCTGAGAGCAGTTTTGCTATGCCAAGCTGGGCTCGCAAAAGGCATAGCCTCGTAGCAGCGCTAAGGGCACAAGGCATCACTCAGAGTTTTTGCGCGCCTGCTGTGGCCTGTGCGAAGATTTAGGAGGTACTCCTCCAGATGCGGTGCTAGTGCTCACCAAAGCACTGCAACCCATCAGTTAATGCATGCGCGCAGCCTAGCTGTTGCAGTGTCGCAGCTACTCCTGTGGCTGCCACCGCGACAAACATGCAACCCTTGTAATGATCAACTTCTAGTTAGTAGAAAGCCAGGTACAGAGGGGAGGGATGATGCTGCAGACAAATTCTAATTCATGCTGCCGCTGAGGCAATTAATTAGGAGTGACGGCTCATTTAAGGGCCAATTCTGTTGAGTTGCAAGCTTTACCTAAAGCTGTTTGTCTCATGAACCTGGGCCACCGCTTCATTAAAATGGTGCGTGGGGCAGAGCGAAATGCTGCAATCCCGAATCGCATGACGCAACTCCACCCAAAGTCAACCTGACCGCTGCTGTGATGCACAGACTCTGCTGTTTGAGGCGGGAGAAGTCCATCAGCTGCAACAGTTTGAAGCAGATCAGTCTCAGTGATCTCAGTGTCAGAAGCTGCGAATTTGGGTGCCACACCATGCAAGCTTCGAGCGGATGGGTGCTGGCCTTGAGCCTTTGCCTTCGGCACCCCTTCCCGGGTGTGCCACGCCAGCAGCTGCGCCACCGCTGGCGCTCGCAGCAGCGCAGGATGATTTGTGTCTCGGCACGAAACCTGCAGCGCTGCCTTCTTCTGGGTTGATGTATGATAAATTATAGTATATTATCATGGTGTATTACAATATCATATCATCTAATATAATATGAGACGTCTTCCAAAGGCTCCGAAAGCTGGAGCAGATCGATTTGGCCAAGGGTTTGACGCAACAGGCGGCCAGGCGAGCTCGGCTCCAGGCCTTTGCTCGGCTGACTAAATAGGGTGTAGGGTTTAGGGTGTAGGGTTTAGGGTGGAGGGTTTAGGGTTTAGGGTATGTAGTGATATAGGATACTGGGGTTATATTGGGATAGTGGAAAATAAAATGGAAACTACTATAGTATGTTGGGGTTATATGGGGATAATGGAAAAAGAGAATGGAAACTACTATTTAGGATGTAGGGTTTAGGGTTTAGCGTTGAGGGCTTAGGGCTTGGGATCCATTATATTACCCCTATATAACCCAATATATTATGGTAGTTTCCATTTTTCCATTATCTCAATATATCCCGGTATACACGAATATAACCCCTACATATACTTCACTCTTGATGCTCTGGGCTTAGGACGGGAAGTTTGTTTCGTCCTCGGCTTAGTCCATGCTCCTCGTTCTCCCCGGTTCTCCACAATTTCTTGCTACAGTTGCTGAAAGCCTGAACGCCTGAACATTCCAAAGAACTCCTCCAGAGGAACATGGGACCAAAAAGGGCCCTCTAAAAACTGTCGCCATTTCGAAGAAGGCTCATCTGCATTCATGTGAGCTTGTGGGTAGGCATGTCTTGAAGCAAGACCCATGATGTGGCGTACTTCTGTCATCCCACCTCTTTTTGCAGCATTCAGGCTCGTTGGCTGCAGCTACCTAGCTGCAGCTACCCTCCAGGTTTCGCAGTGTTCGCCGCCTTAAGTTGAGCACCCTCAGAACTCAGAGCTCAGACTTTGGGAGGTCTTACCCCAAGCCCGACTCTGCCACAACGATTAAGGAAGTAGAACAGCAACGATGGCAGTTTTTTGCCTTGCATTTTTGAAAAGCTAGCTTCTGGCAGTACCCCAGCAGGGTGAAGAGGTCTCACGCAAGAGAAGGAGTGCAGCGTCTTGCATGTTCTGTTTGTCTCTGAGCGGCTAATAGTACAGCCCAGTTAGCACATCCTCCTTGCCGTCTTGCCGTGCCAATGATTGCCTTGGCTGCAAGCAGGCCGCCCTCTTGCTGGAACTGCTGCAGCTTCCTGAGCTAGCTCGGGCTGTGGGGCTTGCAGCCGGCCTAAGGGCTGCACAGCGATTCGCCGGCGTTGCCCGCAGCCACGGAAGCAGCAGCTTGGCTTCAGGGAATGTCTTTCACCAGATCTGTTTTGCGTCACGGACAGCATGAGGCATGCGGCAGATGCTCCCACGACTCTGCGAAGATGTGCAGCCTCAGTTGTTCGTGGTAGGTGGTTGCGTGGCAGGGACGGAGCTTGCGTGCTTGCAGCATTACGACCCGCAGCATAATGTTTGGGATGTCCGACAAGCAATGCCTACGGAGAGGCGCTGGTGCAGTGGCGCTCACTGCATGGGGAAAATTTATGTTGTTGGCGGGCAGCAAGATGGCCACGTGCTAGCGACCGTTGAGCGGTACGATGTTGAGATGGACGTGTGGGAGGCGGTCCCCGACATGCCTACGGCTCGGGAAGCATGTGCAGTTGCCACGTGCGGCTCATGCTTGTACGTCTGTGGTGGCTGTCAACATGACGAGGCCTTAGCAGTCACTGAATGCCTAAATATCGACACCGCGACGATGTGGTGGGAATGTGTAGCGGAAATGCCATGTGGCCGAGACGCCTGTGCTGCGGCCTCGCTGACCGGTCGAGTGTTCGTGGTCGGCGGACGGTGTCAGGATTTCTTATCTTCTGCCGACATGCTACAAGTGCAGTCCAACCGCTGGTTGCCACTTCCGCCTATGCCTACGCCACGACTGGGTTGCTCTGCGGCGGCTGTTGGCAAGCATCTCTTTGTGTTTGGTGGCCATGCGGGCAGGGGGAGGGCACTTGCTGCAGTCGAGAGGCTTGACACGTCTGCTTTTGTGTGGGAAGCTGTTGCCGAGATGCCTACCCCTAGGCTTGGCTGTGTTAGTCTATGCCACAGACCATCGGCATCCACTCAGTGCATATGTGTTTTTGGCGGCCATAATGGCCAAGGAGCCATAGCAGCTGCAGAATGCATGGATGTGGCAGAGAATGGGGATGTCTTGGGTTGGAGGCCTCTACCGTGCCTACCAACACCAACCTATGCCTGCGCTGGAGGCGTCTCACGCTGCTAGCTGCAAAGCAACAGCACAGCTCGACTTTGCCCCTGACAATGCTTCTTGCGTTTCTGGTTGGCAGTGAGCAACGCGCTCTGAGTCATGCTGCTTTTGGTGTTGTGTCAGCGCCAAGCCCTCGATTAGCTTCTTCAAGGAGCCTCGTGCGCATCGATTACAAATTATGATGTACAGAGCCCAGCCATGGCACGTAGATAAGAATTCCCGAACATGGGGTAACATGCTCCCATACACCTGGGTTGGTATTACAGCACGGGTCCCTACGTGGGCTTCCCCATTCTGAACAAAGCAAGCTTCCACATGTGAAGCCCGTGTCGTGCTTGCAAACAGACGATGACTATTTGAGCACGCCACTGTAATGAGAAACAGCTCAATTTTCTGACGGCTGCTGGCCTGGACACCTTCCATGAGCACAGATGGCCAGGCTCAGTGGGATGGCAATGCTTGAGAATGCGAATGAGAATGTTTCTGGAGAGTTCACTACAAGGTCCTTGAAAATAATTTTGAATTTCTGACCTAGAATCCTAATGTGTAGCTGAAATTATAATTTTCCTACTAGGGTTCCAAATCCCTTAGAGTTCAAGGGATGTGCGAAACCTCTGCAGGCCTGGGCACGCTGGAGTTGGTGAGCACCCTAACTCTCGGCAGACGGAGACATGAAAACAGCTGCAAAAAAGGAACCCCTGGCAGTATCAGATCATATCCGAGGTCAGATGGCTGGCTGAAGCCCTACTTTGCCGCTTAGCCTCCTTTCGTGCAATCTTTTGCCCAGCTTGTGAAGGCTCAACCTGTGAGCTCTACCAAGTGTCGCAAGTACATTATCATATTCTGGCTACATTTCAATGACTTTGCACCAGTTGTTCCGGAAAAAGTCCTCACCATGCTCACCGCAACTGCCCGCACCTGCATGGATTCCGACGTTTCACTGGCTTCTACCAATGCGACGCTGCTACCAATCTTTGCGGCATGCCACCCTGTGGGACTTGGCCCCATGCAGCAGCTGGACTGAGCTGGTGTGCCATGGTGTGCTGATATCTCTTTGCCTGACGGCAGGTCAGGCCTTGCCTCATGCTGAGGGGTTTAAACGCTTGAGCAGGAGCCTCAGGGCAATGTCTTGGCATTGAGCGGAGGTCGAAGGTGTCTGGGTGTCATGGCGTGCAGGTCAAATTCCGGGAGGTTTGCAGATTGCAGGAGGCCACTCTAGCATCCGACGAATGAACACTGCAACAGTTCAGTGAGCGCAAGGTTGTGAGACAGCGTGCTTTGCATTTGCATATCATGTGACGCGGTGATTGCGTGAGGCTCTAGGAGGAGTCCGCAGGACTCCTGTACAAAGAAAGAGTAGAAGGACGTCATCACAGCGAGCTTTTGGCACCCATATAGCAAACGAATCACCAGGCAGCAACATGCAGATTCGCCACATGCGCATGTAGAGCACGCAAGTAGCTGCGTGCTGTCATCGCCGATTTGCAAGGCGCGAGAGATGGGCAGGGCAGATAGTTTGTAGCTCGCTTGCTCCGGCCTGTCTATCAAGGCTATGGCACGAGCAGCGAGCTTGGTTCTCTTTAAAGCTCTTTTCAAGGCAGCTTGGAGAATCGAGGTTCGCGAGCGGCTGTTGGGTTTCTTTGATGGCGGGGACCTGCACTGTTCTTGTTGTAAGTACACGCTGCCCTTACAGCAGCCCAGGCGCGGAAAATGCGGCAGAGAACCCGGACCCGCTGTTGGACGTCGTGCACCAGTACCCTGAGGAGGCTGCCTGGTTCATCAAGGTGCCTGCCCAAGGCTTTGAGAAAGGTTAGATGGGGTTTGCTCAAATGAGCAGAGCTTCAGGTCGTGATGTTCTTCGGCAGCATCTCTGGTGTGGTCATCTCCATCCCTTGCGGGCTCTTCTTGACCATGTGCCCTCCATGGAGCTTAGGCTCTGTAGATGCCGAAAGAGTGCCAAGATGTCGAGGTACTGGACACCCTGCGGCCTCTGCAACCGGCCGCTGAGGTGGGTGTGAGATGGTAGGAGAGGCAGGAGCAAGAGCTCAAAGAAAGCAAATCTGCAGGTACTGGATCCTGGTGCACTGTGTGCTTCAGCTCCTCCAGGCTTTTAATCTAGAATCTAGGCTGGCATGCAAGCCCGAGGAATAGTGTCTGGGCCAGGCACCGGTGCGTCTCGTGTTCTTCCTGCGCCTCTGCCACATCCAGCGCCTCAATGGCAACATTCAGGCGCGCAAACAAGCATACTCGAGCCTTTCAGAGCTAAGAAGTTGCTTTTGAGGAGTGCGTGCGGCACCTCACGCACAGCGCGGCTTGGAGAACTAGCAAGGCCCAGAGCTCAGGCACTCCCAAGCCGCAGCCTTCGTCTAGCTGCCAGCTGGACAGTCGAGATGGGACTGAGTGAGGGGGGTCAGGTGGTATAGGCAGTCCTTGCAAACATCCTGCGAGAATGTTGCACAAGCACGCACTGTGCAGGCTTTTCTCGATAAGGGCTGGAGGGTGAAAGGCAAACATGTTTCCCTCCTGCAGCGTTTAAGGCAAAGTAAGGACAATCGGGCCTGGCTCCCTATTCTGGAATGCTCTCGACTAGAATTCGCAATATGGCACTGCTGCATGGCGATCCTATAGCATTGGGTCCCTTGTTACTGAATGGGTCACCCTGAACTGCATTAGAATCAAGGCACATTTGCCATCTGACTGGGCAGGGAGATGAGTTAGCAAGATGCCAGCCTCTGCATGAGGTCGTCTCCATAGTTACCTACGGCTGGTTCATCCTTGGCGTGGCCGGAGACATATCAACATGAACACAACTGTACGTATTCGCCTGTATACATACATACATACATACCTACATACATACGTACGTACGTACGTACGTACGTACGTACATACACACACACACATATATATATATATCTACATACATATCCCTGGCAGATGCCCTTTGAGTCAGGTTTGGCTGCTAAACTCCACATATTGTAAGCCGTGTCCTGGGCTGTACCGGCCATGGGCTCAATGCAGTCAACGGTGCAGTCAACAGTGCGAAGGCTCGTTGCTGCCTCTTACCTCTGAGGCTCTCGCTGGCGGTGATTTTTGCGGCTGTGGCTAGGTGCTGCCGCATGCTGCCATTGTGGTGTCGGCTTTGTTTGCAATTTCGGGGTCTATATTGGAGTCCCCCTATTTAGAGAGAGTACCATGTAGTACTATATCACTGTATATCTATTAGGGGAATATGTGTGTGTGGCGGAGGCTGCTGATGACACTCATTGTGTTCTACCACAGCTTCCCTCCGCGGTTCCAGGGTCAGCAGCCACCTCCGAAGCCTCGAGGTTGGGCAAAAGAGCTGAAGAAAGTTTATAAAGGGATTATAGTTTAGGGTTGAAGGTTTAGGGTATAGGGGTGCCCCTATTTGGGGAAGGTACCATTTCTGGTGTAGTGGGGGTATAGGGTTTAGAAGGTTTATAGTCCCCCTTAAGTAGATAGAATATGGGGTATATGGGGATCTTATGATAGAATACCTAAAGCCATATTCTATCTACTTAAGGGGGATTATATATAAGGATTATAGGATATATTGGGGGTTATATGGGGATGATGGAGAAGAAAATGGAAACTACTTTTAGGGTTTAGTTTGGGGGTTAACTTGGGAGAATGGAAAAGAAAATGGAAACTACTAGAATTAGTATGTTGGGGTTATATTGGGATAATGGAAAAGAAAATGAAAACTGCTAATTAAATTGGGTTTAGGGATGTAGGGTTTAGGGCCTCTGGATCTGCTGCAGGTGCCAATCAGGAGTTGATTGACTCCATGCCGCTCATAGTGCCAGGGCCCCAGCGAGCAAAACAAAGAGAGATAATATTGGGGGTACATTGGGATAATGGAAAACAAAATGGAAACTACTATATTGGGTTTAGGGATAGGGTCTCCTGAAGCCGGAAGATGAAGAGCGAGACGCTGAAGTGGTACAGCTGGACCTGAAACAAACATCTAAACCCCAAACCCTAAACCATCATCAATGAGCGGGTATCCCGAGCCTCCTGGGCTAGCTGACTGGATCCTGGACGTGCGCGGGCCAGGGTTCGCCCCCGCAGCATCTTAGGATGCTGCGTAGCCTATAGAAGAAGAAGAGAGACGCGGTTTAGGGTCTAGAGGGCGAATAAACCCTAATCCCTAAACTCAATATAGTAATTTCCATTTTCTTCTCCATTATGCCAACGTAACCCCGAGATATACCCTGTAATCCCCATATAAACCCTAAACCCAAAACCCAAGTCTGCTTGCTGAGAAGGTACTCGCCCGAGGTAGGCTCCGAGACCAGCTGTGCTGTGTGTGCATCCCAGATTTTTTGAGAACTTGAAGCGCTGCTGTAGGGCTTAGGGTTTAGGATTTAGGTTTGAGGTTTTAGGGTTTGGGGTTCCTTTGTGGTTTCAGGTGCTTGAGCGAGTTCGATCGAGATGCTGTGCTGCGGCGCCTGCCGTGTAGCCATAGCTTCCACAGGCCATCAGCCACGTGCAGCATTATGGAAAGTGTCTGAGCATTGGCACAGCCAAGGGGTTGCATTGACAAATGGCTGAAGAGGAACAAGGCCATCGGAGGTAGAGACAGAAGACCGAAGGGCCGAAAGGCTTCATTCCACGTGTGAATGTTGGAGGTTTGCCCTCTTTGCCTTCAAGACATCGAGGACGGGAAAAGCAAGGGGCTGTTTGGCGGGGCTGTTTGCACGAAGTTGGTGTTCTGTACTGTCATTGATGCTACACGTCTGGCTCTCACATGCAATTACATCTGCTATGGGTGCTACTATTTGCATGCGATGGCGACTAGCCGCTCATATTTCACAGGTCCTGCAGTCGCCGAAGGGCCGCTGGGGGAAGGAGAAAGCTGCCTGAGGCGCTCGTTTGTGGGAGTGGTGAGAATGGCATTGGTCGGGTGGTACCGAAAGTAGGGCTGATGCTCGTGATATTTGAAGAGCGAGAGAGTCAGTGGTGATGCGCATTTTTGTGGTTCCCCGCGGGTGCTGTCAGGCCCTAAGCTCCTCTGCGCGTTCAGCCATAGGCCAGTGAGCCAGCGTTGTGAAGGGAGGGGAGGTGCCGAATGGAGTTGTGCCTTTTTTTGCTGCATGAGGCTATGCGCATGAGACCGAGAAGCTGTTGAGGCCAAGAGGCTTGCCAGAGGCTGCCAAGGTGTCATTTTAAAGAATCCAAATTCGAAAGGGCACAGGAGGACTGCTGAAGGGGTGATCAGAGTTTGCTGCCTTGAAGCTTTTGGAAGCCCCGACTTTTGCTCCTGGGAATCGGCAGCTCCTCTTTGCCTGCCAGAGCCTGATGTCAACGTGAAGCTGGTCGAAAAGCAAAAGCTGTGACAGCGCGAGGGCAGCTTTGATGTTCTTTCGGATTATTGGCGAGCATTCAGCGAGAGAAGTGTGCAGTGCCTACTGCTGATTCACCGTTTGAGATAGTCTACTTTGGCAACTTTAGCTTTAGCACTTCAGAACTTGCTGGCATGTTAGCTTTGTCTGTACCGTTTCGCTTGGCTTACGTTTGAAGAGTTGAAGCTTGCATACTCGTTTCCGGTCCTGCCAGGGTGCAAAGTTGCATTTCCTCGGCCTGACGTGGATTCACCTCGACATCTCTGCTTGCGAGATGATCTTCTACGAGCTCCATGACGACAGGCGGAACCAGACAAGTGAGACACTTGCCGACATGGAAGAAGGCCGAGGTTGTCAACGGGGCACATTGATGACGCCAGCTTACTGGCAGGTATTGGCACTGCGATCTGTCGCGTGTTATTCGCTGATTTGGCAGCCCTGCTGAGGGCGCCTGGGCCTGCATCAAAGGCTTTGCATGGCAGGTTTCTGCAGGCATGCTGTCCCTGCGCCTTACGCCAAAGCCAAAGCACAGCGCTTCCGGACAGGTTCTGGTCCAGTCGAGGGTCCTTCCCAATTCCAAGGAGTGCTCTTGTGTGATCACTGCTGGAATGTAAGAGTTCCTGACATGACCCAGCTGTGTCCTTCGCCGCAGCTTCGGCTGGAGAGCTCAATTTTCGCTCACTAGGGAATGAGTGCTGCGAGTAGATCGAAGTTGCCGGGGTAGCCGCAAAGGACGAGGTTTATCTGCATCAACTGTAGCGTTTGCAGCTCCTACAGCACTCTCATTGGCCCTTCGCAATGGCATGCGGCTATGCTGCAACTACTGTTTGGTCAGACAGTTGCTGGTGCGCTTGTGAGGGATGATGGATGTGCCAAGGTCCAGTGAAACGGCCAAATAAGTTTGGTTGTTGCTTTTGGCGTGGGCTCAAGGCTGCTGCTTGGTGGCACTGAGCCCTGCAGTGCCTGTATCTCAGCTCTGTCATGATGGCTACAAGGCAGCCTCCGAGGATGACTGCGAATCTGACCAGGAACCTGGGGCTGGTCTTTTGGAAGCTTAGGCATGCGATGCGTGCATCCGGTGTCACCTGGTAAGGATGGAAATCTCCCGCAAGGGCTGAGTGATGATCTCAGCACATCCACGAGCAGCATGAAGCTCGGCTGACGTCTAGCAGCACCTCCTCATTTTGTTATCTGATAAGCAGGTCAGCGCATCCGCAGCCATACAGGTTTGCGTGGCCCGAACCGAGAACCGAGGATCAATGCCAAAACGTCAGAGGCTGACAGCTATCAAGCAACGCTCGCGACAACATGCGATACGGGAACCGACTACGCGCTGTCAGTGTAGCTTGGCAACTAGTTGGACACTCCTTGACCATCACCCTTTCGGCGACGCCTGTATTTGGCAGCTTGCTTCCCAGGGACAACTCCATGAGTGAAGTGAACGAGATCCGAACCGACCTCAAGCTGCCGTGCTCTGAGGCCAGTCTCTTCTTGTCTACAACGCCTTTCAGCTCACCATGTCACACATAAACATCACCCTTACTCTCACCGATTATGCTACAATCATCACGTACGGCATGGTTTGCTCTGACGACTCCGCAATAATGAGCGGATCCTTTCAGATCCTTTCAGTATCTTCTGCCTTGGTGTTGGGACAAGTGCTGCCTGGAGGCCATGACCCTGTTTGGGGACTGGAGCGCAGGAGCGAGCCTGCTCAACTGGCCAAATTTACAGCAGCTTGGAGAACAATCTTAATGGTATGAAGGAGATAGAATATGGGGTATATGGGGATCTTATTACAATAATATACCCAAAACCATATTTTATCTACTTCAGGGGGACTATAGCTGGAACCAAATAAGAAAGCTCTAGCGCCATGAAAGGTTGCAGCTCGGCAGCAGCTTTGTCACTGCACGGCTGATCAAGCGGGAGCTCGGCGACGATCCAGCAACCGTATTCAGGCTTCTTGGCAGCATATTATGGTATAATATAGCATATTATGGTAGAATATGGTATAGTATGGTATAATCGCGTACATTATGGCATTATATAGTATGAACCTAGAAAGCCAACGCTGCAAATGTCTATGTGCGGCAGTCTTGAACTCGAGCAAGATGTCGCAGATGTGCGATGATCTACTGCAGATAAGGATCTACGAAGAATTGCAGATTGCAAGTGGGACAGGGCCGTGCATGAACATGTCCTGGGATGATGGGGTAGCAAAGCTTGGAGCAGCTGCGGTGTACAGTACTAAAGTAAGCCCTGTGTAAGAACAGGGGCATCATGTTGCAGTTTCAGCCATGTCTTGGGCAGGACTGGACCTTACGTGGCTGTGTGGCTTGGATTTGGAGCTGCCTGGTTGCTCTGCTTGTGCAAGCACGAAGACCCCAAAGCGCTTCAACAGTGCTTCGCTGCAGGCAGGTCAGTATGGGATGGAATGGGTACACAAGTGAGGCACAGTTTTAGCACAGTGTCAGGTGACGCGTTGAGTAACCGGCTGAAGTTTGTGGTCCGTCCGGTGAAGGCCGATCCTATGCGGAAATTCGCCAAAACTGCAGTTTGCATCTTCGGCGCTTCCCCATCTGGTCAGGTACCTCTACCTGTTCCCGCCAAGTCCCCCAAGGACGCTGAGTATGTTGGCCCGTATTTCGGGGATGGCGCCTATGTGGACGCTTGTCTCTCCATAATTCCCTGACTTCCCGAAAAAAGGTGCGAGAGCGTGCGTCTTGGCCAGCTACGCTTGATGGTTCAACGGTCCGATACGGGACCACACCTCACCTGCACAGTGCTTGCAGTCTGGTGGCGTCTTAGGATGAGCCCCAGCTTGTCGGAGATGTACTGGTGCACAGCGTTCGCAGCTTGGTGGCATGAAGGCATGTCAAAGCAGGCCAGCTGAGAGCCATCATCTTTCAATCTTTTTGGCCCCCCTGTTCTTGCGTTGTCTCGCTTCCAGGTGTTGACCTGTACTCGAACTGGGTGGTCAAGATGGCACTTCAACTGATCGGCTTTCAGACAGGGAACTGTTCCTCGGCGAGGGGGACGCGGCCTCCAGTGCCGAAATGGAAAGAGTTCTCAGGTGTAGCACAGCGGCGCATGCGATGTAGAGGCACATAACTGGTAGGATCCCACGCAGATAAAGAGCTGTGTTCGGGGATTTGTGCTGGATCAAGGCATCGAACTGCAAGTCATTGACTGGCCGCAGCGGGCCGTTCTGGCTGGCTTCAGGCAGTCCGTATGGTCTCTAACTATGCCACATACTTCTACTCCTCCCCAGGGCCTAGCCCCCTCCATCTTGCACGCCTTCACTCAAGATGCAGGTTGACCATCACTACAGTTTTCAAAGAGCAGTTGGGCCGGTGCATCGCCTAACCGAACAACCAGATGCAAGCCCGCTGTCGGCATTCAGATGGTCAGTTTGTGGAAGCAAGCTGATGGCAGCAAACGGCGACGGCTGAGGTGCTGCCGACGCGAAGCGAGGCAGAACATGCTTCTGGAGAATCTGACATCTTTTGTGCGGTCCAGGGCAGTGCCAGGACTTGCAAACCAATTAACTGCAAGGCTGGGCATGCAGTTTCGTTGCTGCCCCACAAGGCTAGTATCTAAGCCTCTAAGCATTAAGGCAATATTATGGTGTCAGCACCAGCCTTGCCAGAGGTACAGCCTCACCGACAGCACAACGTAGGTTTATAGGCGCAAAGCACCTAAGTACATCCAAGCACCACCTGTGTGCAACATCTCCCGTTCTCAGCCAATCTCTGTAGGCGTTGAGGGTGGCTCAATTTTCCGAAGGACGCTCGTGGGTGAGTTCTGGCTGGTCATCTTGGCTAGTTGCAAATGATCAGTCATCTTCCATTGTGGGCTTGGTAGGGCGGCTGTAGGCCTTAAATGTTTGGCACAAAGGATGATCTTCCAGAAGCTGCTGCCCGCATCACGAATGCATGGTTGAGCTCTGATTGGGCGTGCTTAGATCCTGGATTTCGATTCCTTGGTGGAACTTTTTTTGGTAGGGTTCCGCCCAAAATCGTTGGGTGCCGAACGGCACTGCTACAGGCGTGAACAGGAGCTCCGACTTGGAGCTTCGACTCTACTTTTGCTTAGCACTTTTTCTTGATCGCTACCAGCGCTGGCTGCTGGAAGCACAGAGGATGTTGCAGGAATTGTTTGCGTGATTGCTGCACTTCCTCGGCATAGCATGCATTTAATGTGTTTGCATGCCGCTGCTGGAAAAGCCAGCAATCTGATCAGGTATTGTCAGTATTGTCAGCTTCGATATTCGCCCCGTATTTTCAAGGATGCTAGCAGTCACTTCCAAAGGTGCAGTGCTTGTTTTGGTGATGCTGGCTTGGAGCTACAACGACCAAAGCTCCGCCTTTAATGCATTTTTGCCATAAGAGGTTGCAGAAACGTGGCACCTGAATTCAGCTGCGTCCGCTTCACGAATGCACCAGCTGGAGTGTGCGTCTACCTTATAGGGTATGGGCACATTTGTAAAGGCATCCGAGAAGGAGAGTGTGGCAGCCGAGCTCTGACTTGAAACAAATGCTGATCCTGCAGTCGCCGGTCAGAAGTCAGAAGAGAGACGGGCATGTTTTAATAATGTGCTCCAGGAGAAGGCTCATGGCCTTTGAATGCCCCTTAAATGAGAGGAAGGCGAGGGACTTGAGGCAGGGCCTAGGTCTTGGGGGTGCACCACTTATTGACACAGCGGAGATGCCCAGAGGCGGCTGGTGGTTTGCCCGGCAAACCTCGGCTTCGAGAAGCGGGGCTTAGTGTGAAAGGCTGGTGTGGTGCTGAGAGCAGCTCCCAAGCAGCTCGTTGCTGATGTTGCTCCAATACCGGCATCCCTTCGACGCAACATTGGCAAGAAGAATTGTCCAAAAAGCATCCAGCAGATGCCGCTTTTTCTGGTTCTGCAGCAGCCAGGATGAAATCAGTGCATGAGATTATGTGCAAACTGTGTCAAAGGTCCAGCAGCAGCTGGGGAAGCAATTGGTGGCTTGGAGCTTGCAAGCAGACCTCTCGTCTTGCATCTCAGTTTCCTGGCCTGAGGTCAAGCCCCGGATGGCACGCGCCTCAGTCCCTGAAAAACAACTGGTCAGCTTCCTAATGCAGACCCCTGATTAATAAACCCCTCACCTCAATGGGATCATTATCGAGATCCGAATATTAAGGCCCTTAAAAGGCGGGGGATTATTAATCATGGGGCTACATTACACTTTAAAACGTTGCGTTACACAACAGCTACGGCTCAAGCCGGTCGGCGTTTTATCTTACGGATCTTACCCACCAAGACGCCTCACGTGAATGCAGAGCACCTGTGTCCAGTCCGCACTTGGGATAGCTTTGTGACGTGTCATGTGAGAAGCTAGCAACTTTAAGACATAGGATGAGATGCAAGTGCATGCAAGCAGTGCGGACACTTAATTCCGATTTGTCTGTGTGATTTGACGTGCATACCATCCCAGGCTGCAATGCGTGCTGCACTGCGCCGCGGAAGCAGTCAGGGTCTTTCCGACACGGTGCAATCTGTTTGCTTAGCAGGTTTGCTGCGGCGCTCGGTCACTGTTGCTTCATCCGTGCCGAGGCTGAGGCAGGCTTGCACGTGTGCATCAAATTGTCGTGTGCGGCGGGCTGGCAGGTTCTCAGCCCCGCCTTGCCGACAAAGCCCACAAATCTCATCGAGCTTCCTGCGTGGCAGCCTGTGAATTTGGAGGCCCAGTGGTTCATATCATCCATGAGCACATGGGATGTTGGCACGCTGGTGGCCATGAGGGCGCAAATGATGCGGCAAATCAGACTGGAATTGTGCTGCCGCTTGTCTATCTTGAGATGGCTCTCTTGTTTAAATCATCTGCCAATGGCTCTCCTTCCTGAGGCCTGGCAAGCCCAGTTTGGAGGTACTCCTGGTTTGCAGCAATTGAGACAGCTCTGGTTACTATGACTATTACCATTACTACTACTATTGCTATTACTATTACTATACTTATTACTATTACTATTACTATTACTAATGCTTTACTGTGCACTGCATCTTGTGAGGGCCTGAGCCGGCCACAGGTAAGGCTGGCAACTTGGCTGAATCTATAGTCCCCCTTAAGTAGATAGAACAAGGGTTATATGAGGGTTATATTGGGATTATATTGGGATAATGGGAAATACCATGGAAACTACTATGTAGGGTTTATTGTTTCGTCCCCCCTAAGTAGATAGAATATGGCTTTGGGTATGTTACAACAAGACCCCCCCCATATACCCAATATTCTATCTACTTAAGGGGGCCTATAGCTAAAGCAAGAAAACTTGGTGGAGGCACGTGCTGCATGAGTCGCAAAGCGGTCAGGATATCCATCTCGGCTCAGGTCATGCTGCTCATCTTTGCAGCCTTACTTGGAGCATGTGCCTGACACTCAATTCATAGCACTCCTTGAACTGGAATGTGACTGTTTTGGCCATAAGGCATGGGTGGCATACCTGAGCATCCAGGGCAGCGATGCTTTCTCGGATGTAAATCTGAGCAGCCAGATGTGTTGCCTGCCGTCAAAAAGTGTTGCTGTGCGCATGCATCTTGGTTCTAGCGTGGCGTGGCTGTACAGGCTACCAATCTCGTGGGCTGATCTCGTGGGTCTCGTTGATTTGCTTGGAGCACACTATCTGGCGAAGCTCAACCTTGTGGTCCATGGCCCTCAGCAACTGGACAAGCATTCACAGTGGCCATGAATTCCGCTAGTAACTCCAAAGCAGACTTGGGGGGGCCTAAATTTGAAACGTGATCTGGAATTCTGGTTTTCATTTCTGCTCATCGATTGCTGTCAGATGTGAGCAGGGCGCCACAGTGGGCTCGGCTAAAGCAATCAGGTCAGACAAGTTTTCACGGGCGTAATTGGTATGCCGGATTGGTGAATAAGTCGCAGTGGTGACTGCAGGACTGGCGGCAGCAGCGGCAAGCTAGCAGTAAGAGTAGTAGCCACAGGAGGAGGCACAGGATTAGATGAGGAAGATGATCTCGGGGCGATCCCCAAGTATTGCGCCATTGTGTCGTAAGGAGACAAGTCAGAAGTTTGAGCCCAGGGTCTCGCAGTAGGTTGGCGTACGGCTGTTGGAGGCAAACTGCAGCAAACAGCTAGCATCAACCTGAAACCACTGCAGACCTCGAAACTGGAAGCATTACGTGCGGACGTTTACACACAGACTGGCATGGCTCAAACAGCTGGTGTTCATAGCTGTCTCAGGATTCTGGGCGTGGAGCCTCTTTGTAGCCGTGGCTGAGTTCACAGTCGCAGCAGATCCCAGCTCCATCGACCCGCTGCAGTTCACAGAGATTACAACAGTTATGACTGTTCTTCAGAAGCATTGAAGTCAACCTTCTAGCAGCGGTTTGTGCAGCAAAGTCCTTGTACTGAGTGAGTTTGGACAGGTTTTTGTGTCGCTGATGCTCGGCTTCTTCATTACAAACTCTGTCAAGCGTTGGACTTCCTGCGTGGAAGCATTTCTCTCCTTGTTCGAGGCACTTTGAACTTTGCTCGAAGTGTTCTGCACCTGCCTGCATGTACAAGGGCTGATTTGGGTAGTTCCCAAAATTAGGGGTGCCTTTTTTGGGGGTCCCCATTTTAAGGATTATCGTGTATTGGGGTTTACACTGGGTTCCCTGTCCCTTATGTAGGGAAACTGCCATATACCTCTACATAAGCCCCAAATACTAGTAGTTTCCATTTTCTTTTCCATTATCCCTATACATTCCTATATAACCCTATAGAACTCCATATAACCCCTATATAGCCCCTGTGTCTGGTGCTTTCTTTGCCTTTTGGGTGCTTCAGGCAATCCGTGCACTGCAGATGCAGCATCTCGGGTACCCGTTGTAGTAAGATTAGGATTATATTGGGGTTGAGGCTTTTAGGGTTTAGGGTATATTGGGGTTATACTGGGGTTATATCAGGGTTATTTTGGGGCTTTATTAGGGTTATATTGGGATAATGGAAAATAAAATTGAGACTGCTATTTAGGGTTGAGGGTCTAGTCCCACTTAAGTAGATAGAATATGGCTTTGGGTATATTATGGTAAGATCCCCATATACCCCATGTTCTACTTACTTAAGGGGGCCTATAGCCGATTGTAAGCCAGCAAGAAGCACGATGCGACTGTAGGGTAGATAGGGATAATCTGAGGACATGGGATCCAATCATGGAGAATCAAATGGAACATAACATGGAAAGTGGGGTTATATGAGCTATAGTCTAAACTCCTTAAAAGGGTGGTTATACAAGGGATTATTTCGGGGAGTATTCTAGAGGTTATTAAGGGGGATGCTAGGAGCTTGGACTAGAGCTTATATAGTCTTGTGCTGACCTCGTCTTGATGCTTTCTCCCTTTCTTGGAGACAAAGGTTACATGCTCTTGGCGTTGAGAGCAAGAGGATTGATGTCCCCGTGCGTTACGGCATCCTTTCGGAACCTCTGAAGAATTTTTTGGATGTGATTCTAGGACCTGGATGCGACCATTTGAGATTCTGAGCTCTTTGGTGGCTGAGGCATGGTTCATAGAGCGGATCCTACGTGACCCATCAGCACATGAGCAGTGCACTTCTCTCTTTCGTCTGTTGGCGCCAGCTGGTGTGAGGTGTAGAGCAGCTGAAGGAGGACGAGCGGGAGGAGGCACGCGATGAGGTCTTCGAGGAGAAGCTTGGCATGCACTACATAAGCCAAGCCGGCCTGAGATGCAGAAGTTTGTGCTGTCCTTGTTTGGTCGTGGTGAGTCACTTAGGCTCAGCAAGATGACGAAGCCATTGCAGCATGCAACTGCACCTAGTCTGCCTGAGCTCCTACATGTCAATGGGGTACTTGTCAACGGGAAACTGAATGCTTGCTTTCGTCCTCTCTGACTTTGTGCCTGTCGTCTTTGCGAGATGATGTGCCACACTTAGGATGTGGAGTTCGAGGCAGTTCCTGACACATCAGTATTGCAATGGCATCTCTGTCTCTGTATATCGCTCAGCTTGAAGACCACCGTCGCAGCAATCAGCTGATCGTGCTTGGCAGGCGCTGCAGGGCATGAGCGATCCTGCCCTGCAGATTTGGGTCTGGGCAGCATCCTACCTCGGTCGACTTGCACAGGAAGGAGAGATCCTCGCACTGTAAAAAGCCGTTCTGACAATTTCTTCCCAGCGTGACCTCACACGTGAGCATTCTGCTCAACCAAGTATACCACCAATGGCCTCACCGATCTATGGTCGCCTTCTGCAGCTGGTGAAGTGTCCTGGTTGCCAGATGCTTCTTTCCAGGTAGATTTGCCTGCAAGATCAGTTGCTTGTGATACATGAGGACGGCATCAGACGCAGGGCTCAAGACAAGACCAAGCTATTGAGCAGCAAAGTTTGTGTTCTGAGGACGGCCCAAGACGCCCTGAAAAACATCAGGATGGTCAGCCGAGTGCTCAATTGTTTGACGTGTGACATGTCATTTGCTCTTTGTGCCGTGGACCTCGAGGGATCGCAGGGCTCATGCAATGAATGGGATAACAGGTCATTTCCCGCGCAGTGGTTGTCAGCCACAACGCCCCTCCCTGGGAAGGATGTCTGTTGATCTTTTTGGGCAGAGGTGCTAGCTGCAGGCCTCACATTTTATGTCGGGGAATTTTAGAGACCAGTCAAGCTTCGAGACTCATACCTGGTTCGAGGGATGAATGAATTTGGTTTGGGCTTCTTCGTCAGCCTACCCTACGAGCTTCAGTTTAACGTGCAATCCACCTTTTGCTGGAACCAGTGGAAAGTCGGAATAAATCAGGGGTTCCGGTCTTTTCAAGTGCGCCACAGAAAAACAGGTTCAAGTCTTGCTAACTTCCTGCGTTGCGGCATCCTATTACCCGTGTTGAGGGTGCTTGCTGCCTGAACTGTGCAATGAAACAGCAATCTGGCAACGTAATTGTGTGTAATCGTTTTGAGCTGCATGGGACCAACTGCTCCTGATGTGGTTATCATACGCTTTTGGATCCTGTTTGCCCTGCATGCTTCGCGCCAAACGGGAGGGAAAACATGCAGGAGCCTCCACCAGAAACCCACGCCCTCACAATGGCTGAGGCTGATTTTTAGCAGTATTGGCAGTTGCGAAGACTCTCTGAGACTAGGAGATTGCTTGGATGGCGGTAGCTGTGCAGAGTTCGATTGGGTGCTGAGGTGAGATCCAGGTGCCATATGTCTACATGCACACTCTGGCAGCTGTTGTGCATGTTAGCTACTTGGAGGAGATGTTCAGAAGTAGGTGAGAAGTTGTCCATGTGAAAGAGCTGTGGCACAGCTCGAATCGGCAGGCGGGTAAAGAGACAATCATTCTAGGACAAAAGATGGCAGTCATGCCTTCCTTGCAGCTGTAGTAAGGACGAGCTGCCATTACTGATGTTGGTAGAGATGATGAGTTCTGCGGCTGAGGTAATATCCTTTGCGCTACAAGCTTCGGGCTCACTCTAGGCAGGGACTCACTGGTGTCAAATAAGGATGACCATCAGTGCAATACATGGCATTGTTTTTGCTGCCATGTAACCTGAGCATTAGCGTGGGAGTGCTCTCTGCTGCTGCATTTTCTAGATGCATCTCCGCCTCTGATTCTCATTGCTAGGCTTGTTTGGCTGCAATGATGACCTTGGGCCTTGCGCAGGAAGCTGTTTGGGCTCACTCCTTGTCCACCTGGACCCGCGCTTGACACTGTATGGTGCTAGGGCCTTAGCACACACCGCATTGTAAGCTGAGCGATGGAAGATGTGCAGCCCAGCCCAGGTCACTCCAAATCCAGGGCATTCTGCTTCCACAGATCTTCAAGTTCTCCTCATTCAGTTTATGAAGCTGGTCCTATGTGCTGCTGGAGTCACTCTTGAAGTGTGAAAGTTGGTGGGTGGGTCCAAGATGCACTTGCTGAGCTGAGCCCGGCCAAGGAAATGCTTCTGTGCTCCATTGCTCTACCAAGCGTTTCTGGAAATAGGTGGCAAAATCCGTTGCTGTCTTTCTGCGGCTGACCTTAACCCTTCAACAACCCTAAACCCTAAACCCTAAACCCTAAGCCCTACTGAGCCAGGCCTCTGTGTCTCAGCGCCCTTTGGGATCGGCGCAGCCGCTGCCAAGATCCCGGTGGACGATCTCATCCAAGGCTGGGGCCCCCAGGGCCCTAGGATTTTGACATGGATTTTGATGCATTCTAGTAGTTTCCATTTTCTTTTCCATTATATTATGGAAATATTGGGGTTATATTGGGAGAATGGAAAATCAGATGGAAACTGCTAATATAGTATAAGTCATAGTAGTTTCCATTTTCTTTTCCATTATCCTTATATAACCCCAATATAACCCTTGTATAATCCCTATATGATCCCTATAATCCCAATCTCAATGGGCTTAGAGGCTGGATTGTGGAGTTGGAGCATGCCAACGTGCTGGCCGCATCCCCACCAGACTGGGCACCTCCCTGCTATAAGCAAAAGACACAAGCTGGCCAAGCTGGAGCAGTGTCTGTTGCGCAACTGCAGGCCAGGGTTCCTACAAGCTCATCCTTGAAATTCTGAAAATTTCTGAACCACATGCTACATGCTGAAGGCACCCGGAAGCAGACGAGGCCCGCCCCATTAAACGTCTACAGAAATGTGCTAGAGGTTGTTTGTTGCAGGCAGTATCCGCAGCCGATCTCCCTCTCAGAGCACAAGGCGGAGCTATACCATTGAAGCCGGATTCAGTGCTGGAGGCCTTGCCCTGAGTTCATGCTGTTTTTTGCCCCAGACCTTTTGATGCTTTAATCCCAGGCATCGTCGACATGTTGGATGCAACTGAACAAAACCGCTCGGCCCAAAATCATAAAGCCTCGATGGATGCTGACGATGAGGTACCTGCGGTGTGTCACTTCTTGCAGATGTGCCATGCAAACAGCCTTGCAGGCATAAACGCGCCCATGTGCACCTGAGGACGGCGCACTCTGAGATGCTACTCCAGCAAGTCAGTGTGTGCCAGTGTGTGCGCAGAAAACGGAGATGGCATGCTTGAATTGTTTGCGCGACTCCAAACAAATTTGTCGGACCACTTGCAGGGGTAGATGCAGCTCTGGGAGATGGTTCCTTTGTCCAGGTATGGAGCCAGAAGTCAAAACGTTGAGCAGGAAGCAGGCAATCAAAAGTTTGCATGCGTCAAAACGCGCACTACTGTGGCAGTCACTAGCAAGTGACAGGTTTCCAGCAGAGTTCTCCAAGCGGTTGGCCGAAGGCATGCAGGGTCTTGACGGCCCACAGTGGAGTGCAGTTTCGACCGAGCAAAGAAGTGCGAAGAGGCCTGGAAGGCGGAGGTACCAGAATGCGGCGCAGGCCTGGGAGCCCGCTGCGCGTCCCAAACAGATGAGGCAAGCTCCGTATTTTGGATGTAAGGTGATGTTGCCCTGGCACCGGTCTTCTCTCCAAGCACATCCAGTAGAGCTCCATCAGGTTGGTGAGTTGCCAGGCTGAGCCAGAGTAAACTGCTGCCGGGGCTTCGCAGGGTCAGCTGCTGGCAACGGTCAACAGGATGCACGACCAGGCGTGGCCCTGTGGGGTGTGGGAAGCACTGATAGATGTTTCACGTTGTTCCCCCGCTAGGACCGCTCGGTGTGCCGCGCGAGCGAAGTATTGGCAGAACTTGGCAAGCTGAAGGCTTTTGCACATATTTGATTAGCTTTTTCTGTGTGAAGCGACACGGAGGTCATGCAAGAGTGCGAAGCGCCGGCGGCTACCTGAGCTCTTTTGTCGCCTTGATTTGCTACGAGTTGATCTTTGCAAAGGCAGGGTTCGAGTTGGCCTGGCCTGGACCGCAGCCACTATACTGTGTCATACTGTGTCGACAGTTTGATCAAGCAACTTAGCTGTTCCCTTCAGGCAGCTAATACCTGGAGCCCCGGTGGAAAGGGGGTGACCTGCAAAGGCCATCCTGCCTAACTTTGCTAATCCCCGCACCCTTTGTATGGTGTCCATGATGCAGGCGAGTCGCGCGGCCCAAACAGCAAGGGAAAGAAAGGCATGGTCCTGCCACTTTTCAATGTGTTTCTATGGGCTCTTCGTAGCAGGTGGAGACCGAGCTCGGAGCACCGAGCGCGAACGGCCTCCCAGGCAGAGAGGGAGATGAACGTGCCAAGTTACCATCTTGCTTGATGTCTTGGTGCCTGCAGGACAGATTCTGTGCCTTATTCTGAGAAAAAATGGATCAGATCCGATGGCGCAGAGGTGGATGCTTGGCTGGCTCGCTTGCCTTAGTTCACGGGTTCACGGTCAGCGAGTGCCTCAGAGTTTGGATCAGCTTTCAATCTAAATTCAGTCGCAATGGCCAAGAAGATTCTTTGTTGTTCTTAAATTTTCCAAGCGCGGCCATGGCGTCAGTGCGTGAACTTCCGGATAGCAAGAAGTCTCTGAAGCAGTTTGGCAGATACATCTCTGCAAGGCCGCCCGTGGGAGATGTGCATCGGGATCGCCACTGGGTACGCTTCTCTGCCCAGAACGGCGAAACCTATCAGGTGGACGTCCGGAAAATGCAACAGCGCAATCTGAGAACCGGCAAAATCCGCGCAGTGAGTTTTCAGGGACAGGCAGGTTGGTTCTTCGACAAGTGTGGCGGAAATTCCGTGAGGTGGTTACCCTATGCAAGATCGCTTCACCGGGTCCTGGATGCTGCTTTGGCCGATGTCCAGACGGAGCCCCGAGGTCGTCAAGACGATTCCGACGGTGATGCCGACCCATCGCAAACTTCTCCTCAGGCGACTCAGACTCAGAAGGTTCAGGCTCGAGAGCCAGAGAAGGCTTTCGACCCCTTGGCAGCCTGCAGAGATGCCCTCGAGCGGGAGGGTGCTGTTCAGGCCATCAAGGATTTGCTAGAAGCTCACCCGAGTCTCATCTTTTCCGCGCAAGAAGCTAGGAGCGCAGCTTTGTCGGGACAAGTGGATGCTTTGCAAATCATCCTTTGCAGGGGCCCGCAGGTCCAGCTGATGGGGCTGGACATCTTTGACAGAAGGTATCCTGGTTTCGTGCTCACTGAGCAGCGCAAGTGGTGCATCAAGATGATGCTCGCCAGAGGTGCTCGACTTGGGAAGTTTGCTCCCAACAGCAAGCTTCTCCGTAAGGTCGAGTCCGATGTGCTAGGTCTGTGGACAGACTGCTTTCTGCGGTCCCTCCTGCTGACAGGACTTGATCTGCCAGACCCTGTACAGGAACGAATTGTGCAATTCGTCGCTGCCTAACTTGTACAGAGCTTTGGTGGCTTCAGAAAAAATTGCAGATGATGAGGCTTCGAAGTCTTCGAAGCCTTTAAAGAGGGCTCGAGAGTCGGCAATGCGCATGCTTTTCCAGAGGGTGTCACTGTTACCGCAATAGCCATCCCTTGCCTGCCGAAGCTGAATGCGTTTTCGAAGGTATCTTGTTGACATCTGTAGAGCTGCCATGGGTATCTCGCCGGAAACCCTTGCGCTCCAGAATAGTGTGACCTCGGCAGCCATTATAGAAGAGTTCAAGAGCGATGCCGCATTCAAGCAGGTGGCAGAGCGATTGATGAAGGAGATCATGCAGCGTGACCAGGAAGACGGGGACAAGCTGGCCAAGGGCATTCAGCTTGCAGTAGACAAGAAGGTTCTACCAGCTGACGTTGCAGTTGAGCCCATCACGAAGGTCAGCGTTTCAGGGAAGAGCGCCGAGCAAGTTGCTGATGAAATTATAGCAGCACTGGGCGAGGCCCCATCCAAGGGCTGTGTCATGACACTGCAGGGCCTTTCCGGCACGGGAAAAGGCACAACCGTTGACAAGCTCAGGGAGAAGCTACCAAATGCCCAAACCTGGAGCCACTGGGCCACTCAAGTTCATGTCACAATTAGTGGGGGGAGAGCCCCTCTTGAACAAATTATCTCCTGCACATGAGGTCCTGGAACTAGTAAGCAGACACTTCAGGCAATGGCAACCTGTTCCGGTCCATCACGCTGTTGGCCGTTACTAGCTCTGAGCAGAAGGGCTGCGACCTCACGGAAGTTTTGACGCCAGCCGACTTGGAAACATTCTGCGGGATGCTGGAGTTCGGCAAGTTTAACGACAAGTGGGATGTCAAAATAGAGGGTTTGGGTTGCAAGCACTTCGTCTCCGAAGTTGAGAAGACCGTGCTCAAAGAGTCCAAAGTGGGCAAGAACATTCCCACTGTCGCAGAGGTCACCCAAGGGGAGGTTGTCAACTTTGTGCAGAAGGCACTGGCCTTGATGGCAGCTGGTGGCACAAACGTGCCCCTTGGCCTGTTTTTGTAGGATTTTTGTGGCATGCTTTGTGATAAAGTTGTAGCCCAGGCTGCTCGAAGGCCGTGAGCAGACACTGAATCACATCCGCACTCCGCACCGTTTCGAGCTGGTTCTCGATGAGCCCGTGATCATTGGCATGAGACAGGAGGGGCTTGTCATGCTGTGCAGTTAAGCTGTCTCATTACGGCATGCTTCTTGGAGGCAGCGCTGCAAATGGGTGCAAAAGCCAATGACAAGGTCAAGGCCATGGACAAGGCTGATGAGGTGCCAGGCTTTTAAACCAAGCTCTAGCGTATGCTGATGTCATGTGCTTCATGCTTGTCACAGGCAGCAGTCAAGGCTGCACTGGAGGAAGTTTTGGCAACCATGGCCTGAAAGCCGTAGACCCTTGACAAAGGTTGAGACGGGCTCAGAATGAGCTGCAGAAAAACTGCATTACGTTGGACGCGGGCCAGAAAAGGGGTGGAAGTTTTGGGTGAGGGCCTTTCCGTCGGCAAAGAGATCCTAACATGGCAGGTCCATGCACAAATCATGGAGCTGAAGAGTGCCGCCCTTGGCGAGCTTTGCCAATAAAGCTGAGTTACAGAGCTGATTACAGCTAGACGATAGAAACGTCTTGCAACTCACTAAATGTTTCTGGAGGTGCCCATGACCTGCTAGACCTTGCTGGAGAATTCGTGAATGAGTTCGCAGTTTTCCACGCGCAAGCACCTTAGTCAATGTCCCTGAGCGGTGAGTGCATGCTTCTTTTGGTTTCTTCAGTGTCATCAGCACAATCCTTGTCGACAACATTTGCTCCAGTCGCTTTTGGCTCCATGGGCCAGTCAGCCCAACAACAGACCCAACAGAACATATGTGCACAGACCCACAGCGTGACTGGCAAGTGTTGGGTTAGTACCCGCCTCACTCACGTGGCTGGATCTAGAGAAGACCGTACGAACCTCTCGTAGAGCAGTGGCGTGGGTCCGACAGCCCAAAACCTTCATCATGTCGGCCTGGCATGGTCAGCGTTGCGTTCAGGACTCTATGCAGGACACTGGAGAAAACCTTCAGTTGCAGTGCTGCCATAGCTACATGTGGGCACTGTCGTTGACTTGCATGTGTAGGGCGCTGTGGTCTTCGCAGGCTTGCCGTGCTTGTTGCAGCCACTGCTGCAGATGCCGCGACACCAGGAGTGGATTCCTTCTTGACATTTATGTTCCTGTCCCAGGAGGCCTGCTCGCAGTCATGACAGGCCAGCGATTGCGGACCATGGCGCGCGCAGAAGGGCAGTCGGTGGCAGGCGGGCTAGCAATCACCTTGGAGCCTTTTCCTGAAAGCGGTTGGCAGCTGCAAGGACTGGTATCACAGTGGGTGCAGCTTCGGTACACTGCTATGCATTTGACTTTGGATGCAGGGAGAAGAGGCGAGAAGTGGCTGTGCGCATGGTTGGGGCAACACGCTTGGCACTCGGCCAGGTGTGAACGATATGCTGCCCTTCACGCCCGACGGCCTCGGGCTCGGTCTCGCTTGCGGCTTGCGGATGGCTTGCGGGTCACTTGCTCCTGGGTGCAAATGTTTGAGGCCCAGGCCTTCCAGGCACGCATCGGGCACGGCTTCTGCCTTTGCACGACTTGGCACCTCTGGCCGAGGTCACGAGCTGCCAGTTGCTCTCGCATTTCTAGAGGGACATGTTCACAATGGGCATTTGAAGGTGGCAGGGCGTACGCCGGACCGGCACCTCATCGTTACCTGGGCAACTGGTGCCTTTGCCAATCTGGCATTGAATCTTGCGCTCTCAGTCCGAAAGAATGTCCTCCTCTAAGCCTTGAAGCCTCCAGCGGCTGCTGCTGCCAAAGTGCTGTGCCTAACGAACTCGGTTTGTTTAAGGTTCCGACGTTGGAAGCCTCTCTGGCCTCGACCTTAGCAGTGGCGATGGAAGATTTCTTCTTGGCAGCATGCTGGCTTTCAAGCAAAAAGGCAGTTGTCTGCCTGGACCCGGATGCGCAGCAGATGCTGGAGGCAGAGGGCTTCTCGGCTGCCACCCGGCTGCATGATGTCGGGCTGGGCATGACACACTCAATGACAGCCCTTTGAACACATTCTGGTGCCCAGGTCTTGCTGCAAGGTCCCAAGGATGATGCGGCTGTGAAGAATCCCTGGCAGAACGACGATTCTTGAAAAGCCTTGGAGCTTGTGACATTGACCTTGTCTTTGTTGATGCAGACTCTAGCCAGCAAAGTGCCCCGCCGAGGACCTGTGGAAATTCAAGTCTGCTGCCTGCGTTTTTGTCCGTGATGTGATGTGTTTAGGAACATGTGCAGAACATGCGAGCTCGCGGGCAAGGTATCGCCTGATGGCATCATTGATCTCGCTAGGCACCGGCGGAAAGAATGATGCTGCCAATTCGTGATGGTGCCAGAACCAGCTACTCGTCTTCAGGCCTATCAGCATTGGTGCTGGACACGGACGTGGTGCTGCTGTCTGACCCGTTCAAGCACCTGCAAAGCGACGCAGATTTGGAGGTTTCTGCACTTCGGTGTTGTTTTTCTTGCTAAGAACTGCAATCGGGAATCGGGTGTAGCTACCGGAGTGTTGAAGTTCAAGGGTCGTTGAAGCATGCAGGTGATGACAGATCTTTTCTTCCCGGAGTCCCAGCTCCTGGATACATCAATACGCCCCGAAGACCACATCAACACCGGATTTGTACCTTGCTTTGCACGAGTGATGTGATTCCAGTGTTGAGGGTAAAGCTGGCCAAGGTCTTCCACAAGAACACTGACGCGGCATTGCGGAGCCTTGTTGGATCATGGAAGCATGTGTCCCTCTGGCACTTTTTGCAGTTCAGACAGACCTCCACTGACAAGGCTCATCTTCTTATTCCTGGACTCCTTCGATTCCAGGGTATGGAAGGGCTTCAAGCGGGACTGGTTCAATCAGCGGGCTTTCAACAAGCTGCCCGCCTCAATAGCTGACATTGCCCATGAAGCTGCAGTACAGTGCATTCAGTGGAAGGCTTCTTGCCTGGTTGCTGAGGCTGGTTCTGGAACTCGTGAACGCAGGTGCTTTGAAGGCGTGACTTCGAAACGATGCTCTGGATGCGCCCAAGTCCACTGGGCCCTGAGCAGGTGCTGTATGGAAGCCAGTCGTGGTGTTCTCTGCGGAGCGGACCTGCCAACCATACAAATGTGGGAAGTGTCCCTGCGACACAGTTGCGCTCGTGCAGCAGGCCGGCTTTATGCGATCTGCGCGAAGACCCTGCATCGTTTGCACCAGGTTAGAAGAGGCCACAATCCGAGTGCTTGATCCAGCAGCCGCTTCCTCAAAGCAATGTCTGGGCGACTAGCAAACCAGAGTCAGACACGTGAGACTTTGAGTTCGCAATGCTTGAGCTTCTTGAGGTCATTGCGCATGGCATGAACTTCTTCTGGCGAAGGGCGCACCTCATGAAGGCTGGCGCAAACAGCGGCCCCCGAGACACTTTGCAGCGCTCAGTGCCACAAAGGCAAGGAAGCAAAACGTGCATTGAGGCCAGAGATGATGTTTTGCCTGTGCAGTGGGTGCTTTGCTCAGGAAGTTGCTGTCGTCGCCTGGCCTTTACCTTTTTTTCGAGGGATTTCCTGACATGGTGTGAGTCCGCATGTAGACGTATAGGAAATCGTTAAGTGTCAACAGCATAGCAAGGTCCATGCAAATGGTGTGGAGCCGAAGGATTACTTCTTGCGAGACTTATGCTGCAATCGTTGCAACCAGCAGACGCGCTGCGCAGTGCGTGATGTGCTACGAGATCTCAGTAGAGCTTCTGCATTTGGTGAGGAGATAGAGGCCTGTGGTACTTGGACGACTTCAGCGAGCGCTTTGGTGAGGATCCTCGATTTTTTACATATGTTCACGCCCGAGGCAGCGGGCAGGAACTGCGCACTCCTCCCCCTTTCCCCGCGGCGGCACTTGCATCGTTAGTGAGCCTGTGCACAACTTGGAGGCTCTTCCTTGACAGATGACTTCGAGGACCTGGCGGCAGCTGTGGAGGAGTTCTGGATGAAATTGTGAAGTCCGTATCATACGGCGAAACGTGAAGGTTTGCCATACATGTCAGGCTTCCTCGTTCATGGTAGCTGAACCTCATGACTATGCAGCACATAATTTCTAGTACTGCTCATCACACACAGATTCGGTGCGGCTCTACCGTTTTAGGCTGCCAGGGCATGCTAGGCCGCCCACCTGAGCTGCAGGTAGCGATGCTGCTGAGACGGCGAGTTATCCTGCCTGACACGATGAACTGCCGTGCCTGGGTTCTAAAAAAACATGTAGCTGGAAACGCTTCAAAGACATGAGCACAGACAACGGGCAGAATGTGGACAGCGTGGCTCAGGAAACTGTCCGGCATACAAACCCTATGGCTTCGAACACTGGCAACGCGATGTGAAGGGCGAGGCCCCCCGAGTTGCAACTGCATAAGTAAACTCCCTTCAATTTTTTCCCGGACGCAAGATGCCAGGAGCTGGGCTGCACTTTCGACTACTTCTCTCGTGCTGGTTTGGCAATGGGGGAGTGGCTGCGCTTTGCTGCAGAGCAGCATTCCCAGAACACTGCTGTAGCTGTGATGGAATCTGTCGCAGTGTGGTACCATCGATGGTCCCAAGGTCGGGCGTGGCCAAGCTCCAACGCTTCAGGGTGCTTGCGAGGGAGAGGCAGAGACACTCTAAGGTAAGAGTGATCGCCGGAAACTCCAATGAACTCTCCTACATAATAATCCCTATATTACCCCTGTACGTTGCAGCTGTTCCAGGCATCTACAGCTCGATGACGTAAAAGATGCCTTGGCAAAGCTTCGGGGCCAACCAGCTGCTGACCTCAGCCTTGCTCCGGTCCTGGAGTTTGGCTACTGGGCAGCGCTTGCTAAGAGGTTGCTAAGAAGTTCAATGGTCTTGTGACATGCTGGGATATGCTATGGCTCAGAGCCCCGAGGTCATGTCTTTTGACAGCTGGGATAAAGTAAGAGAGTAAATAAGCTTTCTTTGTCAGCATGCTTGAGCTGGAGGCACTGACATTCCAATCCGGGCGTTGCGCGATATGCTCAAGACAGCGGTGGGTCTGGGACTTGGTGGAAGCGATCCTAAAAGGTCGGTAACAACAAAGCAAATCAACGCAAGTCATGACTGCAGGTGGAGAGGCGCTGGACTCCTTGCCATGCGCCTGGCGGGCATGGCCAGCCACCACCTATGCCTGCAGATGCCCGAACACAAACTAACATACTGTATGTACTGCTTAGCAACACTGGCATTTTGGGGACTGCCTTAGGAGCTTCAGGGTGTGGGAAGACTGAGGAGATGGCTTCCTGATCCCTTCGAGGCGTCCAGGCCACGCCTGATGCACCATGAACCAGACAGAGCCCGTCTTCTGACAGCACAGGCGCATGGCAAACATCCCGCAAGGGCCTCTCCCGATGCGATGGCAGTGCGCAGGCAGAATCTTGGCCCGGCTGAATGGCAGCTTCTGGTGCCTTCGAGAAGATTTGGGCAACAGCTGAGGAGTGCGGCATCCTGCCCTTCATGTGCTGCGAAGCCTACTTTGGATGGGCAGATAAGCTGGAAGCTCTGGGGCCAGGCCAGCTTGTGGCAAGGTGCTGAGAGAGTTGCTGTTGCAAGCTTCCTCTGGCTGTAAACTCAGGTGCGCCGGCATGGGATTTGCCATGTGGCTGCGGCTTGCAACACTGCAAGGAGAGCCGGCCAAGACCTGGAGAGGCTGCGACCCAGCTGACAGGCTTTTTCCAGATGCACTTGCGAAACCTGCGCAGGTCTGTTGCGAGCCAGTTGCAGAAGCTGCACAAAGAAAGTTTGGCCCGGATGCCCGGAGTGATCTAGCAGGTCTCAAAAGCTCAGTCACAAATACAGACCATCCTTTCCAAGGCAAGAGCTGTGGCTCGAATCCGAGTCCTGTGGATGCCTTGCCTCGGCTCGTTCCTGGGCTCCAGCATATTGGCGGGCAGATTTCATTTCAAGAGTGTGGGGGCGCCGAGGTCCCGGACGACACTGCAACTCGGTTGTAAGCAGACCGACGATTCAGCTGCCTCAGCGTGCGCTATCAGGACACGTACAGCAGCTCTGCACTTCGAGAGCTGGCCAAAGGGCACCTCAGTAAGGAGGCCGTCTGCAGCGCAAGCGTCCCTCAATTCAGCTTCAAAATCTGAAGTCTGACAGCTCGCCTAAAGGATGCGCTCGGTTTATGCCTCACCAACTCTGCTTTGCACCTCGGCCAGGCGAGGCCCGAAAAGAGCCAGCAGACATGCAGTGCTTGTGAGGGGCTCCTTTCAGGTTGGAGCGGATGCGCAGCGTCGCTGCGAGGCCAGAGCTTCACGTCTTTTTCGCAACCGAGTGTAGAATGTTGCTACTTGTATTGTCTCAGGCGATGCTTGAGAACCTTGCCTGCAAATGCTTCTGTCATGCAGTCGCAACAACTTGATACAAGTTGGAATGTGTCAGCCTGCCTGTCTTTGGGATGTCAGGAACTTCTTGGCTGCACAGGAAGGCTTTGCGGGAAGCGCTTCTCATTGAGGCAGCCCTTACCTCCTGCTCCGAGCAGCACGGCCTCTACATGGCGAAGCCTGGTACGTACAAGATTGATGGGACGCGTAAAGCCGCTCTGCAAGCTGACAAGGAGGCGATGCAGGTGAAGCAGGGAGGAGCACGTCAAGGAGGTGCGACGATGTCGACTGAACACTTGGCTTCTTGAAGGATCGTTGGAAGGGCTGCCAGCATAGAGATGTGCGTGGTGCAAAACGCTGCGAAACACCACGCTGTGCTGCGCAATCCCTGAATCTAGGCGTTAAACACTGAGGGACAGGCAAGATGCAAAGCACATTCAGGTCAGCCGCGCTACACCGGATAGCGAAGGCCGATGACCACCACCAGGCCCGGGCAGTCCCCGCGAGAAAAAGGAGGCCAGGTCGAGAGAATGCTGTGGGAGCAGGTGAAGGGCGATGAGCGGTTGCGTGTACTGGCTTCCAAAGCCACACGCCACTTGTCACGGTCTTTGTCATCGTTGCACTTTGTCTGGCTACAGTTCCTTGGAGATGGCAGGAGAGCTGGTCAAGTGGGACAAGCTGAAGAAGCCACAGACGATGCCACCCGGCCATATACCCCGCTTTGTAGAGGAAACTAGGCCTTGAAGAAAATAGCCAAAGTTCCGGACGTGAGTAGAGTCAGGATTGACCAATTCCTGTCATATTGCAAGTAGTTTATCCCCATATAACCCCAATATGTACCCTGTAATCCCTGTATTTAACCCCATCTGAGGTCTAAAATCGTGTGGGCCATGGCTAAGCTGGACCTCAGGCTACACAAGCTAGTCGCCAAGGCAGGACTTCTCTTTGGGATGCTTCAGGAGAACCCCCACCCTGTAATAGTGGTATATAGTTCCCCTTAAGTAGATAGAATATGGCTTTGGGTACATTATAAAAAGATCCCCATATAAGCCATATTCTATCTACTTAAGGGGGATTACAAGAGGACTATAGGAGGACCCTAACGTAACCACTATTGTCCCTCATAGTCACAAGTACAGGATGGGGGGTCCATGGAGGAACAGCATCCTTCGCGCGCAAGGTCTCTGATGAGGCGCTACAGAAGCTGCCGGAGTTTGAGCCGCAACAGTCCCCAAGCTTCAATATGGCGCTTATTTGCAATACATTTTATGCTTCCATGCTTATATTACCGGGATAGATACCCTGGAATCCCTATATAACCCTATATGATCATCCCTAGATGGGCAGTTCCCAACACTAGGGTCCCATTTTGGTACCCTAGACATCAGGTGCTGTAATAGAATCTATAACCAAGACGGGCTCATAATTTTGAGAACAACCCATATTACCCCTTTATATATTAGGAGGACCCCCCACCCTGAAATAGTGGTATAAAAAGAATCTAAGAGGATCCTAATATGATCCCTATTATCCCTCATAGTCACTATTACTGGGTGGGGGGTCCTCCTTTAGGATCCCTGCTACGTCGAGCTTGTGGCAACTAAGGCTGGTAAACATGATGCCGCGGACTCTGTCAGACTTTTGCACATACAGAGCAGATGAACAAGGGGCTATATAGGGGTCATATAGGGGTTATATTAGGATAATGGAAAATAACATGGAAACTACTATGACTTATACTATATTCGTAGTTTCCATTTTTTCCATTATCCCAATCTAACCCCCAATATTTCTCTAATATAATGGAAAATGTAATGGAAACTACTATTTAGTCTAGGTGGTCCTATGCCACTCTGCGGAGCGAGACGTCTCTTGGAAGGGCATTGTGTTTGTCATGGTGGCAAGTATTGGCAAGTGGAAATGCCTGAGGCCCCTGGGTGATTTCGTGGGGGCACTGCGTGGCCGCGTCTCCACTCTGGCGCCGCTGGGCCGCGCGAACCTCTGCTGGGCCGTGGCGAAGCTCCAGGTGCACAGACTCAACCCGCGTGCTGTTCGAAGCAATCCGCATAAAGTTTTTTGCAGGTGCGCGAAGCGTCGCTGATGCAGGAGTTGGCACAGCAGACGTTTCATCGTGGCGCGTGCTTGCAGAGCAGTCTGCTGCTTCTCCAAGGCTAGTTGAGGAGTGCCAAAGTGCTATCCCAGAGATGAATGGCCGATGACCCAGACAATGCTTTCAATCATGATGGGGAGTGAAGATGTTTGCAAGTTTCAGGAAGGGGTTCTGTGCTGTAGGCCAAAACCTAGCGAATACCAGTTGGGCTTTTGCCACCCTTCGAGTGGCTGATGAGCGCTTTTTCGACTCGGTCGCGAAGGCCAGCAAGTCATATGCTCCATACGCCCACGACGAAAGCTCTGAAGTCCCAAGCTACCCAAGCTCGAGCCTGAAAGCTTTTTCTGCCGCAGGTGGTGGCAGCCCAATGTAGCGATTTTGCTCAACAGATCCCTGGCAAGTTCGCCTTACCAGATTTGGCCGGATCTGTGATTTTGGTGAGCTGGGTGTTTCTTGAACCAAGCATCCTGATGACAACTAACCTGTTGCACGTTGACATTTCTCTGCCGCAGCAAGGAACATCAGCAACACTGCCTGGGCATTTGCGAAGCTGCAAATCAAGAGGCCCAGCCCACGATTTCAAAAGCAGAGGCCTTCTCCTTTGCCTCAGAGGCCCGAGATGATGGCAGCCATTTCACGGTGTGTGCAGCGGCGAGCTGCAGAAATGCCGGCACAAGGAATTGCTAACACTGCCGGGTAGCCCAGCGGACCTTTCTGAGCTAGTATGCGCTGGGGTTTAGCTGCGAGGCCTGGTCGTTTGCAACGCTGAACATCAGGGATGACGCCCTCATGCGAGGACCTTGAGGTTCTTATGGGCGCCCGGGTATGGCAAAGCCAAATCATGTCCTAGCGATTTTGCTGGGCTGTCCTTGCGCCTGTTTTTTCCCACGCGTACAGGTGTGACCTTTCGCGCGCTGTCATGTCCACAAGTCAAGTACGCTGCATGTTCTGGGTTTCGCAGACATTAGATTCACGATTCAGCCAGCTTCCAGTTAGTTGGTCTGGGCTGGCAGCTTGCAAGTGATATTGATGCCATGGCACGAAGATCTCCAGCACAGACATTTCCACATCTTGCCCGCGGCCATGGCAATGTTCGGGGCGGCAGGGGCCGCCTTCAACGACAATGCTACCTGGCTTTGCTTCCAATGGCCTTTGCCCTGTAGAGTTTGTAGACACTTGTGCCGCTAGCTGGGATGTGCAGCTGTAGCTATCCATGTGCCGTGCGTTAGATCACTCTGCGAGTGCTGAATGGTTGTGTCCAATCATATCAAATCAGGTCCGTGCAGCACACCATCAGGTCCGAGGCTTGCTTGCCCTTGCCTCAGAGACTCCGGGGTTAAGCTGTGCCCTCGTTTAGGCTTGTGCTGCTCAATGCTGACAGGAAGCAGAGGATGATGTCAGTGGCAGTGAGTGGTTTGATGGAGGCATGAGCGAGTGACCTGACATGAACGATGTCCCCGGTTGAAGGGGTTGCAGGCAGGTCTGTCAACGGTGCAACGCTACTTTAGATTCGTTTAGATGCTTTTAGCATCTAAGGAGGACAGCTGCATCGAATTACTCTCAGGCCACGCTAAACGGCCATCATGTGCAGGGTCCATTTCAAACCTGAGTGTTGCCGTCGTCTGAGCAAAATGCAAAGGCAGTCCGGGTGCCTAGCAGCTCTGCCAACGCAAGCGGTGACCTCAAGAATAATTACAGCGTCTCCTACTAGAATGAGCGTTATGCCTTATGCTGGCAGTCAAGGCATCGTCGGACGCGATGTTGGCGCCACCGCCGCCTGGCGGAAGTTGTGAAGTAGGACGTAACTTGGCACTTCGACGCGTCCGCTTCCTGACGCTAGTGTCCTTCAATGTTCCAGCAGAGGTTGGATCTCGCATTGTTGTGCTTGACCCAAAGCTGGCAAAGTTCGTGGAACCGATTGGTACCATCATAGAGGTGCGCTGTGGTGGTGGCCGCGTAAAGGTAGAGCACGACGGCCACTTGGTGACGGAAGATGGTAAGCTATAGCTATCCCCCCTATATATGGTCCCCAACTTTCCCCACATAATCCCCTTCAATTAAAAGGATCCTAGTTTTAGGTAAGGTGCCACCCAAAGGCTAGTTCCTTCGACCGAGGTCCTGAAAAGGCGGAGCGATATTACAACACCGGCAAGGATGATGAATTCCAGCATCCCGGCCTGCTCCAGCGAGAGTGCTGTTGCTTCAGCATAGCATTGTTGCTTCAGCATAGCATATGTGGCAGCCTACCAAGGCATCAAACAATTAGCGAATGAATTAATCCGTTAACCTGTCAGTCAGCCCTTATCCTGTTTCTTGCGTGCTTCTCTTCCCAGGTTGCACGTTACAACAACTAAACGGGAAGAACTGCTGTCGAGTCATGGTAGACGTAGGTTGGTCTCCGTGGCTCCTTGGTACACCTAACGTGTCTCATTTCATGGCAAGTTGCCCCCCTGATATTTCTTCTGCATGCCGCAGACTTCAGAAAGGTACGCGCGTGGCCTGTTGAAATCTTCTGATTGAGGCACCTTCAGCTTAGCCTGTGGAAGCTAGCCAAGAATTCCTCAGTCTTTTTGCTGCCCCTCTGCAATGCGGTGCTGCTTGTGTTTAGGCATATGGAGAGGAAGGGCTGGAACCTCCAAGCAACATAGTCCCCTCCGCAAGAGACTTTTTGCGGCTCATGTTCCTAAAAAGGGCCACCAGAGGTGCTTGGGACAATGATCAAGAGCCTCACCAGAAGCTAGGATTAAAGTAGACGTACCAAGAAATCGCATCCCCCTAGCCACAAATCCTGATCCCCATACCCTCAGCTCAAGTCTTATCTGCGAAGCCTGGACTGCACCTATACATGGCCATGCAAGCTTGAAAGGATTTCTGCTGAAGACCTGAACCCCAAACTTCACCCCTTATAACACGAACAATGAAGCACGATGAGAAGACCCTTATCTAGCTCGAGCTGACTCCCTTGGACAATTCCGACAAGCTGTGGCTTTCTGGAACTGCTCGTTGCTGCATCCCTTTGTCCTACCCCTTTGTCCTCAAGGAGGCCAAGTGTGACAGGGCCTGACCTCCTTCACACCAGACTGGACTCATCCCCCAATATGTACCCCATTATAACATAGTAGTTTCCATTTTCTTTTCCATTATATCCCTATAATATACCCCAATAATCTACCCTATATTCTATCTAATAGTAGAGTTCCTTGTCCCCTTGCAAGCTGTCAAGGCTGGGATTGCTTGCTGTCGCAGAAGAGCAACGGCCACGCTTCTCGCAGCTCGCCACATCAGACGGTCTTTCAAAGATGCAATGTTGAGATGCACTACTGTGTGGATTAAGAACTGGAATCCAGGCGTCCTGTCCGCAGATTCACGCAATTGTTCAGAATCTTGCCGTCAGGTTGCCGCGTGCGCCCTCCAAGATGGAGGTGAGATCAGAGGCGCGCCTATAGCAGAGGTGCAGATGCTGATGTGTATGCTACGCCATGCACTTTGTGGTTCATGCGTCCGCTCTGAAAAAGAACACCAGTTTACAGTTGCTGAGGTGTCAAGTGCAGTGCCCAGTGCCGCGCAGCATCGTCCGCGCTATTCAGAAGTGCGCAGGAGAGCGCGCTGGGCATCATGCCCTGTAGCCTCTGACTGGACTTCATCACAGTGCATGATTGCAGTGCCAGGAGCTTGGCCAGCGCCAGAAAGGCTGACTCTGCACGGCCTACAGGGCCTACAGAGCTGGGAAGCAGCGGCTCGTCATATCTTCAGCCTGAAGACTAAGGCAACTAGTCCGTTCGACTGGCAGTAGAAATAATAGTAATACTAATAAAATAATAGAAATAATCATCATCATAGTAGTAGTAGTAGTAGTAGTAGTAGGAGTAGTAGTAGTAGTAGTAGTAGTACCAGTAGTACTAGTAGTAGGAGTAGTGGTAGTGGTGGTGGTGGTGGTGGTGGTGGTGGTGGTGGTGGTGGTGGTGGTAGTAGTAGTAGTAGTAGTAGCAGTAGTAGTAGTAGTAACGGCCACCCTGGCAAGGCAGTCAGCGGCATGCGACGGCTTGACAGTCATCTGTTTGTGATCCACGGTCTCGTCAGGTCCACTTGCAGAGGCTGAGCACTCTCCGGTGACTGCCATGTCCAGGACAGGATTTAGATATGGCAGCATGCAGAGCATGTGGGGCCATGTGGGGGTGGATATTCCAGATTGCTACAGAGCTTGCGCTGACAGGAGCAACAGTGTGGTAAGCTGGGACCTCGGGATCTTGGGATGCTTTGCGTTGTATTCTACAAGCAGACGTGCATTGACTCCAAGGTGCGCAGACCATTCAGACAACACAGACAGCCCAGACAATGCCTGAAGCCTCTAGCCGGGCCTCTTCGCGCCCGCGCTACTCAGAGGTCCGAAGAGCACGGAAGTCGGCACTTTGGCTGAAGTTTCAGCTCCTTCAATCTAGAAGTGGCCAGTGAGAGAAGTTTCGAACCCAGGCAGCTCTTGCTCACGCACAGCAGGCAGACTACATAGAGGCCGGATGCTGACCTGCACTTTGAAAAGTCTTTAGGGAACGCGTCGGCAGCTTGAAAGGCATCTTGCGCCAGCTCTGTAGTGAGCCATGGAGGCAAAAGGGATGGATAAAGTCATTGAGTCGCATGTTGCAGGGTTCCCTTTGGCACCTGCCAGGCCCTGACATCGCCCCGCGACCGCGGCCTCGTGCAGAAGCTGACGAGGTGCCTTGCATAGTTCTTTGAAAGCCATTGAAAGCCTGGTTTGGGCTTGCCTTGCTACCAAAGAATGCTACCAATGTGTGACAGGCAAGTGGGGGTGGTCAGGATCCAGCCCCGCAGGCCCAGAGAGCCGTGCGTTGCCATGCAAAGCCAGCATGCAAGTGTAAGATGGACAGGCCCGGAAAAGGTGCGCCCGTTTGTGTGTGCTGCATGTGACGCTTCAAGATGTCAGGAGCCAGTGAACTGTGAATCTTCCGCCTTGGCTAGAGCAGACCTGCAGTAACAGCGCTTGGCGTCTCAGAGGTACTCAGAGCAGCGTCGCGGTTCTTGCAGTCCAGCAAGGCGGAGCCAATAGGATGAAAACCTTCCAAGGATCCAGTCTGCCAAGCCAGCCGCAGCCGCAGGTCGCAGAGCGCAGTTGTGTCCAGGGAGGCCCGGGATATGTTGCCAGATGATGCTTGCCGAGATTCTCATGCCGAAGTGTGAGCATCCTCAGGTTGACCCCCCAGCAGAAGCAACAGCAGAGAGCTGTCCTTCTCTTCCGCGGGCTGCAGAACATCTACCAACGGCAGCGCAGTTTTTGCTTCTCTGCCAACGTTTGGAGACTTTGGAGCAACTTGGCCGAAAAAAGTTTGTGGGCCTCACGGGATGTTGTGCATTATTGGGTCACTGCTTAGTGCCTCTTGCATACTGGCCTGTAACGCCTGACATCATTTTCTAAAAGGGAAGGAGAAGGTGATACTTGTAGAAGCTGGCTACCAGGCTGTCTTTGCAGCAAGGCTGTACCTGTTCTCGAGCCTTGGAAGAAGGAAAGGGAGACGCCATGTTGGCGATGCCCGGACTTAGGCGTGATGCAACTTCTCTCGCAAGTCAACTGCAGAGCTTTCGCGATGAAAGTGTCTCAGATGCTTGGCTGCATAAATGCAGGGCAGGTCGGCTTGTGGAATGTCTGCGGCCAAGCTGCAGCTGGAGCATCCCAAGTTTACCTGATGTCCAAGGAGGGTCATGTAAGCGCCCATTCTCGTCTGTTGAGCTACTTGCATATTTCAGGTGTCTTGCGCAATGCGAATCATGTTTCAATGAGCCCCCCCCCCTTT